GACCAAGTTTAGCACGAGCAGACGTAGCCCGACTTCATTCTGAGAGCGTCTACGTGAACACCGGCTCGTACACTCAGCCTCGTCACCGCGGCCTGAGGGCTTGGTTACAGCGGGAGTTCCCCGTGCTAAGAATAGATCCTTAGTCTATGTGGGTCGCCTGTCTGTGTGTGTGTGTTTGTTCGTGTGTGTATGTGTGAGTGAAAATTTGTTCGTTTGTGTGTGTGTGTGTGTGTGAAAGTGTGTGTATATGTGTTTGTTCGTGTGTATATTTGTGAGTGAAAGTGCGTGTGTATGTGTTTGTTAGTGTGTGTGTGTGTGTGTGTGTGTGAAAGTGTGTGTGTAAGTCAAAGGTTGATTACAATCAAACTTGATTACACCACACATTTTAATGAGCGCCACAGCTTTGTGAATTGTTAAGTTCTTTTTATTACCATTGATCTGACAGAGGCGCGGTCAGCACTTTTAGACACATTTTCTGTCATTTAATCACAATCACACTGTTTGGGTTATATTTAATGGTAATCTTCATTAAACAGTATGCAATTAAAATTCGAAAGCACCTAATTTTTTGAGAATGAATTTATTTTAGTAATTCATATATATGTGTATGTATGTATAAATAAAAGCGTCACGTTGGTAATAGATGTAAATTATCGTACGGCAAGATTCATTTTGGGGTGTCCTAATTACCAACACCCCGCCCCCACCTCTACGCCAGTGCATGTGTACGTTATTTTTGCCATTATAAAACTAAAAATTAGTTAATTAAAATAAAGAAGAACTTTCCTTATCTTTCCTTAGTTTTACCCGTCACTTTTTCTTCGAGTACTCACGAACTTGACCATTATTTAAAATTTTAAAACAACATATAAATAGATTACAAATAGAACTTTGTTTTGTAAATATAATTTTAAGCCCGTTTTAAAATTTAAAAAAAAAAACCGTGGGAAACGCTTTACAGTGACCCTGAGTGGAAAAAAATCGTAAGTGGGGGCGCTGTTGTCGAGTGGAACATTCAGGAAATGTCATCATTTTGTAGGGAAAAAAATGCCATACTAACTAGCTTGGTGAGTCAATAGGATGTCTTCACTTCCCCCTCAACTACCCACACTTGAAGTTGATGTGGAGTCGTAAGTAGAAATTCCACTTTTAAAACAATGGCGCTTGATTGTGGCACTTAAACTGTCCGTTATGACAGTTCCATGTAAAAATAAGACGTCCGTTGTTAGTTGTCCTTTTGTGGCGCACCTCGATGCGTGAGTTCAGAGAAGGATGACGTGACGGGGGTGATTAAGTTGAGTACTGTCGATGTCACGTACATCAGCGAAAACAATAAAAAATAAAATAAAAAAATAAAACAATTAAAAAAAACAACAAAAAATAAAATAAAATAAAAAAACAATTAAAAAAAAACATTTAAAAAAACATTAAAAAGAATAATTTTTTTTTATAACTTTTTAGCAAACTAGCGACAAAGTTGAGCGCTTGTTTAATAATCGGAAATAAACTTTTAAAAGTATCAACTTTGAACTCATTCAAAATGATACCAATGATACCAATACAAAATAGATTAATTTTTAACATTAAACCAGGATTTTAAAAATGAGAAGCTATAAAAAAAATAATCAGACTGAAGTAACTACAAAACTATAGTTAGAAAATAGTTATAGTCAACATCGATATTGTAGTATTATGTTCATTAACAACTTTTTAATTTCGAAAAAAGTTAAAGCGTTTTCTAGAAGAGTTGCTATTCCCATTTGCCGGGAGAAAATGTTTTAACCAAAAAGTTCCGAGTGTAAAGCCCCCGGGCAGATGAGGCTCCATAGCTGGGGACAGCAACTCTCCAAAATCAAACAACCGCTGCCCTGTAGATTGTTCTTGGTTGGACAAAGGCTATGGAAGCAAATCCAAAAAGAAAAGCAGGCTGAAATCGGAGTTAATGGCTATATGGCGCAAAAGCTGTAGACACGAATACTTATTTGTGTTGGAGGGAATCCCTTCCAACACTCATATAAAGAACAAGGAAGAAGAAAAAACATTATCATCCTGGCCTTATATCTTACAATATTTTAAAAGGGTATAAAATAATCCTAATGCAGAAAATCCTGGCAAACCATAATCATGCCCTTGACCTTATAAAAGATACAAGCAATAAATCTTAAAAAAAGAGGGTGCTGGTGTGTGTAGATACTCTCCCTTTGTTGAATGAACTAACTAGATATTTGTTACTACACTTCTCCCTCCATTCCCTCACTACAGATATTTTTCTTATCTAAGGTCAGCAAATGACGAGAGTATTTTTTAAGATCAAATAGACGCAGACCTTCTTTTCAAAACCTAATCTAAATATCTGCAGTTTTCAATGACACAATTTATATATATATATATATATATATATATATATATATATATATATATATATATATATATATATATATATATATATATATATATATATATATATATATATATATATATATATATATACATATGTATATATATACATATATATACACATGTATATACATATATATATAGGCCTATATATATATATATATATATATATATATATATATATATATATATATATATATATATATATATATATATATATATATATAGGCCTATATATATATATATATATATATATATATATATATATATATATATATATATATAATATAATCTATAACACGAACGCTATTAATAGAATCGCATGCAAAATAACCCAGAAGGGATAAGAGCGTGTCGTACGATCAAATGAAAAAGTTGAGTTGAAACAATTTTGTATCCTCATGTCTTCAGAGCTGTTTTAGTCACTTCCGCGATAAATGTCCTTCAACATTCGACATGCCGTCTGCTGAGTGAAGTAATGGTTGGTTGGTCTGTTGGGTCACGTGTTATCTGTCTGAGGCGATGGTTGGTTGATCATTTGGAAACAATTATTGTAAGACTCAGGTCATGGTTGGTTTAGCTCGTTGAAATACGTGTTATCTACTTCAGGTAATGGTTGGTTTATCCGTGCGATCACGTGCTATCTATCTCAGGTAACGGTTGGTTAATGCACGGGGTCACGTGTTTATCACTTGGGTCACGTGTTAATCGGTTGGATCACGTGTTATCCGCCTCAGGTAACGGTTGGTTAATCAGCTGGATTATGTAGCATCAGTCTCAGGTAACTGTTCGTTAATCCGTTGGATCACGTGTTTTTAACAGTCTCACTTGGCTAACGTCAGGCACTTGAGGTGAACCCTCAGAGGAGACGAAAAAAATGGGATCGCCCAATACAAGCATGGAGGCGGAGTCTTCTTGAAGAACTGCAGGGATGTCTGTGGAGACGACAAGATACACAACCGTAGACCAGACTAGGTGGAAGGTAATGACTGAGGTCGTATGCTACACAAGGAGTACAGAGCACCAATCATTACTGAAGATCCTAGTCTCTAGTCATAGCTGTTGCAGACATGCTGACCCCTTCGTAAAACGTGGAAATATAAATAAAAGATACCCGTGGGTTCCAGATAGAGGTCAGCACTATCCGAGATTACCCACTTAATCTTAACCCTAACATAAACTGAATTACTCAATATTTATCTTTATCAAGATGTTCAATAACACAAACGGTGATGTAGTGAGCATTATGCTAAATTGAAAGGCAGTTTGGTTCGAAGACTAGATCAGTTCTCAACCCATGTCATTGTTTGTGGTTATTAAATCGTTCGTAACGCTAAGTATTTGTAATAGGCGTTATTTCTCATGCATGGTTTCTGAATCGTTCGTTGCACGAAACGTTCGTAACATTAGCCATTGTTTGAGGTTTTTAAATCGTTCGAAGCACGAAACTTTCGTAAACGAGTCTTTTTCAACCCAAAGTCCCTCTGTAAATAGTAGAAACTGTACCATAATAGTTGTTGGGATGTAACTTATCAATCAATTAACATACATTTAAACAAGTATTTGACTCAATAAGTTCCGGATTAAAATTATGCTAACTAGCATAACGAAATTCAACCATTGCTAAATCCCCAACAGAAAATAGAACAGAGCTACCTAAAACTTGGGCCAGTATAGTGACGTGTAGGTACTGGGGTCCTGGCGTAGGTAGGTAGCTACATGTACCTGACACGTCAGGCCGTTTGTTTACACATGTGCTAGGTGGGCGTGGCCCCCACCACCGTAGGTCCAAGTGGAACATTGTTTCAACTTGTGGAGGTCTCTACTGTCTACACGCCTGGTTACCGGCGCTTGATTGTTGGACGGTTCTTCTATTAAAGGTAAGCTACTCAGTATAAATGTAAATAATATTCTAATACTATTATCGCCCTTGTAAAATATTAGATCCAAAATTGTACGATATATTCAGATTTTTCTTTCGAAATCGTAGTATTAATTTACTTTAAAAATATACATTTTAGTCGTTGTTTCTATAACTATTCTAAAAAAGCTGCCAAATTTGAAAATAGATTAAAAATAATTTAAGAAACAACAAAGTTTGATATATTCGATTTTAAGCTTTATTCCAATTGACAACTAACATTTCAAACACTTAGTCTCAAACACAGCGCACGAAAACACTAACGAAATACATTTTACATAACAAACATAAGTGCCTAAAAACGCATTAACACAAACTCACTGCAGCAAAATGTAGGTTTCACACAATACACATTGAAGAAGCATATTTATACATACACTTTCCACACCGGCACACGCAACACAACACATTTTCTCCATCAACACATTCCACATAACACATTAACCCCACACACACTCCCCACCAGTACACACAACACAACACTCTATCTCCATCAGCACATCTTATTACACACTAACCCCACACACTCTCCCCACCGGAACACACAACACAACACACCTTACAACACACTAGCTCCCTACACCACACAGCACACTAGCCTCCACAAACCACACACAAGCCCACACACACAACCGTTACTTGGACTAGATAATCCACCTGACCCCATTATACTCATAAATCTGGTTCCCTGGTCTCCAGCATGTCTACCGCACTGTGTGCCTTTCTCGTGCTTCTCATAGCTGTCTCTACAACTATCTTCATCAACACCAGGACCAAATCACCACAAGGATCATCTGTGATTGACAGGTTCAATTCTACTTATGATTACATTATAGGTGAGTACACATGATGGATGCACGCGTATACACTGTATAGGCTGAGTCTAGCTGTTCTGATCGTGACCATGTTATGGCTTGTTTTTATTTATACGCTTTAGTCAGTTTTAAATCGGCTTATGTGGTCTAGACACTAGTTTTTAAATTATGTTATTGAGCTATCCTAGAAAGGGTCGAATTTGATTATTCCATGTCAACGATTTTTTCACGTTTTTCATCGATTATAGTAGAGTGATCGCTTGCATTATTGTGATGTATAGCATTTATTTTCTACTTTTTAGTTCAATCAGAAAACGTGGGTTTTTAAAAACTTTTTTAATGATAATTATTAAGCTTTTGGAACTTTGTTTACTTAATTAACAAAAAGTTTATGTATTATTAATGTTTTTGTATGAAGTGGTGAATTAATTAACTGCCTCGTATTCCAGTTGGTGGAGGGACTGCCGGCTGTGTGTTAGCCGGACGTCTATCTGAGAGCAGGGACGTCACGGTACTGCTGCTGGAAGCCGGGGAGCAGGACTGGGCGAACCCCTACATCAGCACGCCGGGGTTCGCTCCTGGGGTTCTGAGGTCTGGCATTGACTGGGAGTACTACACGGAGCCGCAGAATGGGAGGCTGTCAGGGTTCAATGAAAATGTGAGGTTTGATGGTGATAGGGTTCAGTGTGAGGTTTGGGTGTGACAGGGTTCAATGTGAGGTTTTGTGGTGACAGGGTTCAATGTGAGGATTGGTTGTGACAGGGTTCAATGTGATGTTTGGTGGTGACAGGGTTCAATGTGAGGTTTTGTGGTGACAGGGTTCAATGTGAGGATTGGTTGTGACAGGGTTCAATGTGATGTTTGGTGGTGACAGGGTTCAATGTGAGGTTTGGTGGTGACAGGGTTCAATGTGAGGTTTGGTGGTGACAGGGTTCAATGTGAGGTTTGGTGGTGACAGGGTTCAATGTGAGGTTTGGTTGTGACAGGGTTCAATGTGAGGTTTGGTGGTGACAGGGTTCAATGTGAGGTTTGGTGGTGACAGGGATCAATGTGAGGTTTGGTTGTGACAGGGTTCAGTGTGAGGTTTGGTGGTGACAAGGTTCAATGATAATGTGAGGTGTTGTGATGATAGGGTTCAAAGTGAGGTGTGGTGGTGACAGGGTTCAGTGTGAGGTTTTGTGGTGAAAGGGTTCATTGTGAGGCGTTGTGGTGATAGGATTAAACTATAATCAGTGACGTGTTAGTGATAGGGTTCAGTGTGAAGTATCACTCAAACATAGCAAAAAACATTGGATACACTGTAAGTTTGAAAAGATCCCTACCAAATAGATAACATACTGAATCTTTTAGTCCACTGAAAAACAATCAATGCTAGAGTTCTATTTTAAACTATTTGATCCTAGATTCAGTTTTAATACTTTTCCAGCGCTCGTTTTGGCCGAGGGGTAAGGTGCTGGGTGGCACTGGTAGCATCAATGCCATGATCTGGGTGCGTGGGTTCAAACCCGACTTTGACAGGTGGGCTCAGTACCTGGGCACTGATGACTGGGACTACAGACACGTCTTGCCTTACTTCAAGAAATCTGAGGACATTAAAGTACCTGAACTAAGGGATTCAGGTAACGATACAAGTTGATACTTGTGTGTAACTTTAGCGTAGGGTTAGTGTAATAGATCAGATAATCTTTCAAAAACTTTCCAGATTTTCTTCTGCTATTCCAGAATTTCGAGGACGCAATGGTCCAATTACTATAAATACTATCCAATCACCTCAGCCCATTGTGGAGACATTGATTAAAGCAGCAGCAGCGATAGGCTACCCGTTAGGACAGGATTACAACGGTGAGACGAGAGAAGGTAAGAGTAGCCGGTCCTGATGACTAGCTCTGTAGTGGTGGCTGTATTTTCACTTCGTAGATTTGTCTAGCTAAGTTAGATTCTCTATATTGTTTAAAATTGTTTCGCTGCTTACTTTTTTTTTAGCCTGACAAAGCAAGTATACACGGAACAATGTCTATCAATATATTTCATCTAACATACAACATGAAGTGAATCCAACATCTGTTTATTGATTAAACACATGTGCACCCCTTGACCCCCTCCTCTAATGTACGATTGTTTGTCATGTTTTTGTCCAGGTTTCTTCTACACACAGTTCAACTTAAACAACAACGAAAGATGGTCAACCAGCAAAGCCTACGTCCACCCTGCCCTGGACAGATCCAACTTCCACCTGGCTTTGAAATCCCACGTGACCAAAGTTCGTACACTCACGCTTACGTCTATCTCTTTGCAGTTATCTGTGTGTAAATGTAACATCTGTATATCCACATCATACACAGTTACATTACACACGAAGGTCGCATTTTTTAAACTATTCAATTGTATTTTTTATGAGATTATCATGAACTGTATGTTAAAAATTTTGAACAAATACATGATGACCGTATGGGTCGCATACAAACCACGCGATCAAATCTGTTATCTACCTGGCCACAGGTGCTGATAGAGAACAAGAGAGCTACAGGTGTGGAGGTCATCAAGGACGGCAGAAAGTTCACCGTCCAGGCCAGACGTGAGGTCATCTTGTCTGCTGGGACAGTCGGCTCTCCACAGATTCTCATGTTGTCTGGGGTCGGCCCTAGGAAACATCTGGAAAGTTTGAAGGTCTGGTCTGATTCAGAATCTTTTCCTTAAATATATGTATATATATATATGCCCTGCACTGGCATCTCTGAAAAACGTATCTGTAAAGGACCATAACTTGTGTGTTTAGTAATCAGCATTTGCCCACCCTAACCACAACCATCCAAAACACACAAAAAACGCAAAAATAACACAAACACAAAACAAACACAAACGAAAACACAAAAACAAACGCAAAGACAAACCCAACCACAAACACAAAGAAAACACAAACACCAACGCAAACAAAAAAGCAAACGAAAACAAATTCAAACGCAAACACAAACCCAACAACAATCAAACAAAACCAAAACACACAAAAAAATAACCCAAACATAACACAAACACAAACACAAACACAAACACAAATACAAATACAAATACAAACACAAACGAAAACACAAAAGCAAACGCAAACACAAACACAACCACAAACACAAAGAAAACACAAACGCAAAAAAAAGGAAACGAAAACACAAACGCAAAGAAAAAAAAGTAAACGAAAACAAACCCAAACCCAAACCCAAATTCAAACGCAAACACAAATACAAAAACAAACCCAAACTCAAACACAAAGAAAACACAAACGCAAAGATAAACTCAAATTGTCCACAGTCTAGCCCGGGGCGCCAAATCGCACCATGACGACGTGCGGCGTAACTGCCTGATTCAACTTAGTAAACGACAATAGTACCCAACTTTTCCATAGTCTGTTGAACTCACTTACGCGAACGTAGGAACCATAGCGAACACGGGAAGGCCCGTAATTATTTTTTTCCTAACACCAAAACTAAGTAATAAAAAGTAAATTCTTTCTCCCCCCGATTTAATGGGTTTTTAAAATAAAAGGGAAGTAACTGTGTTATCCAAATCAAGGGACGTAATGAGAGCTAAAGGACAAAATGCAAATACATTTCAGACACAATTTTAGAAATTTTATAAACGTTGATACACTTTTTAAAATTTTTTAATGTAATATTCATAATTGAAAATTATTATTCTAAGTATATAAAATGAAAATTGTTTTTATAGACTTACAATATTAATTTTTAACTCATAAATTTAGACCATGAGCACTTTAATAATCTAACACTTGAATCCATGGAAGTATCGTTTTTTTCGTTTTTTCTTTTATTCCTTTGTAATCCACGACAAACATTTTACAAACATACATACATACAGAATTGAACTTTATATATTAGATATATATATATATATATATATACACACACACATACATTCCCTAGATCCCAGTTCACGCTGACCTCCCAGTAGGAGAGAACCTACAGGACCATTTGTTCTTTGACATGGGGGTCAAGGTCAGGGAGCCACTGACTGCCACCATGGAGGAGCTGGAAAGCTGGTGGTCCTATCTAAAGTACAAGCTGTTTGGTGCAGGTAACTGTGTGTTTGTAGTGCCAGGCTTTGTTGTAGTGTCACAGGTCCCTTGACAGATATTTCTACATTTACACAAACCACGGGCTTCGACAGATATTTCTACATTTACACAAACCACGGGCCTCGACAGATATTTCTACATTTACACAAACCACGGGCCTCAACAGATATTTCTACATTTACACAAACCACGGGCCTCAACAGATATTTCTACATTTACACAAACCACGGGCCTCGACAGATATTTCTACATTTACACAAACCACGGGCCTCAACAGATATTTCTACATTTACACAAACCACGGGCCTCGACAGATATTTCTACATTTACACAAACCACGGGCCTCGACAGATATTTCTACATTTACACAAACCACGGGCCTCAACAGATATTTCTACATTTACACAAACCACGGGCCTCAACAGATATTTCTACATTTACACAAACCACGGGCCTCGACAGATATTTCTACATTTACACAAACCACGGGCCTCAACAGATATTTCTACATTTACACAAACCACGGGCCTCGACAGATATTTCTACATTTACACAAACCACGGGCCTCGACAGATATTTCTACATTTACACAAACCACGGGCCTCAACAGATATTTCTACATTTACACAAACCACGGGCCTCAACAGATATTTCTACATTTACACAAACCACGGGCCTCGACAGATATTTCTACATTTACACAAACCACGGGCCTCAACAGATATTTCTACATTTACACAAACCACGGGCCTCGACAGATATTTCTACATTTACACAAACCATGGGCCTCAACAGATATTTCTACATTTACACAAACCACGGGCCTCGACAGATATTTCTACATTTACACAAACCACGGGCTTCAACAGATCTTTGTCTATACACACACACTTTAGGCCGGTTTAGAGACCCACACAGATTTTTGTAAATGTCGCCTTTATTTTCCACAACTCACATTAGTAATCCATCAGAGTTTGGATGGCGGATTCACAGACTTCATATCAATACAAGTTCAGAAATCGAGCTCGAGATTTTCGTTTTATCAACCGTATGTCCTATTGCTCAACCACGCTGTCTTATAGAAGTATAATGATTTTCCGAACTAACATGCAATTTCACCATTTATTGTGTCTATACACGCCAGTATTTGCATCACCCAGTACACCCTAATGTCTGTCCTGTTCCAGGTCCCTTGGCGTCACCTTACCTGTGTGAGACCATGGCCTTTAAAAGCACAACCACAGAGACCAGACGACTCAACTGGCCAGACCTCCAGATCCACATCCTCAACGTCTTAACTCCCAGCTCCGATGATACGTTCGATTACAATAGTCAGGTCAGTCTCTACTCACAATGATGTGTTTACTTTGATTACCGCACATAGCTAGATATAGTACTTTTGTTTACCATGACGACTACACATAGTCAGATATTGTATTTTTGTTTCCCATGACGACTACACATAGTCAGATATTGTATTTTTGTTTCCCATGACGACTACACATAGTCAGATATTGTATTTTTGTTTCCCATGACGACTACACATAGTCAGATATAGTACTTTTGTTTACCATGACGACTACACATAGTCAGATATTGTATTTTTGTTTCCCATGACGACTACACATAGTCAGATATTGTACTTTAGTTTAATCATGACGACCACAGACAGCCAGGTATTCTACTCAACTCGTGTGTTTACTATCTCAGGTGAAAGCTGATCTGACTGGCAGAGACACGGCCAAGTATGGTTTAATGTGCGCCCCTACACTGATACGTCCAGAGAGTAAAGGGAAGATAACTCTACGTTCAAGTGATCCATTTGATTACCCGGTTATAGCCCCTGAATATTTAACAAAACAAGAGGATGTTGAGCTATTAATACGAGGTACTAATGCAGCAAATATTTGTAAAGACTAAATCTGCTTGCCTGACCTAAAGGTTTACACATCTGTATTATCAGTCGCTATATAACTATTATTTTTAAAACCCCTCTGTGAATAATGTAGAGGGGATCAAGTTTTGTGTGAACTTAACAATTAAAAAAATCACCCTACTTCAAGAGGTAAGTTTTTCCTCTTTTTGTTTTCATCTATAACCAAAAATATAAAAAGATTTTTAAATATATTATCCACTTTCTTATTAGTTATTATTTAAATTGTTTTCTTTAATTCGTAAGGAATAGATTTAAAAAAAAATGTTTCCAAAATTACAATACGATCCTAATGTTAGCAATTAAGCAAACATTAATGAAGACAATTTGACTGATTTCCAAGCCGGTGTTGAGATTTAAATCGATGTTATTCACCTACTACGATCAACTATAATGCTATAAATTAGTCATCAGCAATAATAGTCACAATTAGATATGAAGGGACATTTCAAGTAAAACGTGCTGCTCTTTTATACAGCTGTTTACAGTATTAGCATGATTTTAAGTAAAGAACTAGAGCCAGAACACCTAAAAAAACAAACCGAAGTGTTGAGGCATTCTGATGAGCTTCTCTCATTACGCATTGTGTTGTCAGGTATTCAGGAGTGCGAGAAGCTGGTCAACACGGAGAAAGTCTAGATATATCAAACAATTTTTCTTTTGACCATTATTCCTTTAAACCGTCGCTTATAGAGTCAATGTGTACGTTGTCAGGTATTCAGGAGTGTGAGAAGCTGGTCAACACGGAGCCCATGAAAGCTGTGGGGGCTGAGCTGACCGAGGACAGACCAGCCGCCGCGTGTGGACATTACAGGTTCAAATCCCACGAGTACTGGGAGTGTGTGGTCAAGCAGAGGTCCTGTACGTTGTATCACCCGGCGGGGACCTGCAAGATGGGACCTAAAGGGGACCCCACAGCTGTTGTAGACGGGCAATTAAGGTTTATAACTTTTAAAAAATTTATGTACGAAAAGCTAGTTGAAATATTAAAAATGCTAGTATGGTTATTGTCAAGTTAAACTTTTAAACACCCGACATTCATTATTGTAGTCAATGGGAATTCGCAGCTAAATGGCTCCATTGTCTGAAAGACGATTAGATAATTGCGTCTTAGAAATCAAGGCCTGGATAGTAAGTTGAGAAGAGCCAGATGTTGTTCATGTATCAGACCTCTTTCCACACAGTTGATGTTATTAAGGGGGATATAGTTAAGGATACATTAAATATCTAAATAGATGTGTATCCTACTTAATTCTTGCAATTTAAACAAAAGTGACTATAAAAGTATCTAAAGCTACAATCTTTTTTAGACGATGTTGGTATCTTAAATTGATACGCATGGGAATCTAATGCATCTCTAAACAGGCCAGCAAATTTCTAAGCAGATGACGTTCATTGTTTACTTTACTGTTCCACAGAGTCTACGGCGTGTCCGGTCTTCGTGTGGTGGACGCATCTGTTATGCCGTGGGTGGTATCAGCCAACACGAACGCTGCGACAATCATGATTGCTGAGAAGGCGGCGGATCTAATCCTCAACAGAGCCACTTTACCTCCACAGAATCAATAACTATATTGTCGTATTTTTAAAATTGTAGGCAGCTAAGTTGATTGTAGATAAAGTTAGCCCAAACGTTAAGATGTGTGTGTGTGTGCTCTATTCTTTGAGCGTCTAAAGCCATTCCATAACCCAATAATTTTATGCGAGTGTGTCATAAGTATTTAGTAAAAAAATAATCTCAATGTTTGTTATTATTCGACCTTCTTCTCCACATATAACACCCCTCCATCTACTCTTTAGTGTATGTATATTACATGCTTCAAGTTTTTAAAAATTGTTGTTAATTTTGTTTTGCATCAAATTTCTTTGCCTGCTTTTAATTTATTTTTGAAATAGCAGAAATATTTTTCTAGCTGCACAAATGCGTAAACATAACTGTAAATATAAATATGAAAAAAAATAAAAATCTTATAAAGAATATTATATTAAAAATACAACATTGCATTTCGTTTTCTTTTCAATGATCCAATCTGCCTAAGTGTATGTAAAGAACATATACGAATGATAGCAAGACATCACAAGATATCGCAAGACACTACATCACATTACACCACATTACATCATATTACACAACAATACATAAAAAACATAACAATATATCACAATACATAACAGAACGTCACAATGTATCCTATTTTATGACAATACATTACCATACATCAAACGACATCACAATACACCACAATAAATCACAATACATCACAAAACATTTCATTACAAGCTTTCATTTGTCGCCTTTAGCTGGGGAAATCCATTGACAGAAAATGTGAATAAAAATAGTCTTCGCGTTTTAATACTTCAAAATTATTAACTAATTATTCAGTTCTATTATGATAAAGCGGGAGTGATCACCCCTTAACTGTCTCGAATATACTCGGCATATAGACATGATTTTTAATAAGTTTTTAAATATTTACACTTTTAAATCTGAAAAAGCGTAAAGTCCTACTTTCTGAAAACAAAAATTTCTCAAAATTTGAAAGAAGGGTGAAAACTAGATTTTTTACGTATTCACGAAATTTCGTCTGTCTCAAACAGTACTCAAGTTATAGAATTTTGAAAAGCCGAACGTAGAATAAGCTCTACTTCCGGTTAACGGAAATTGCTCAAAAGTCGAAACAAAACTACACATTTGATATAATACTTATATATGAAATTTCATCAACCTAGCTGTAACGGTAGTTATCGTGATCACATCCACACACACACAGACATACGGACACAGTTGCAAAACTATATTTTTCCGTCTCAGGGAGGTGTAAAATGTCGCGATTTGTGACAATCTCGATTTCGATTTTTTATTCGATTATCACAATTCATATATACTTTGTATACGAGAAAGTAAAAACGGATTGAATAAAATAATTCCAGGGCAGCATGATGTCCCATTCACTCACCCTTCTCAGTGAGATCTCCCAAATTTTAAAACACTCCCCCCAGCACACTCCGATCCAAGGACCAGAATAATCAAGATTCCTATGACCTACTTGCACGTATGCAGTGGGCCAGTAGTGTTTGATCTGTTCAGCATGTCTGCCGCGCTGTGTGCCTGTCTAGTGCTCCTGTTGGCCGTCTCTACGACAATCTTCATCAACACCAGGACCAAATCACCACAGGGATCATCTGTGATTGACAGGTTGAATTCTACTTATGATTACATTATAGGTGAGTACAGACTGTGGATGCTTGTAGTGATATTTTACAGTTTTAGAGACAGGTGTGAATCACTACTCAGTGAATGTTATGACAGTGAAAGGACATCTTCTTTTTACATGATACAAATCTAAAATCTAGATTCTAGATCGATACAGATCTAGATCTATTTAACTCACATTTATTCTTTTGAAAGTATAACGTATTAAATTAATATCCATTTTAAAATGATAAATATATTTTTTTTCTGCACGCATATTACATTTTCTTTGAAAAACTCGATTTTAGATCTACATTATTTTATATGAGTTTGATTGAAATCCCGTATGAAGTAGGCCTATGAATGAGATGCAGATCTATTACTAAGTCAGTAAATGTATAGTCTAGTCTAGATTCTGTCTGACTGTTTAACTGTTTAACCAAACCTAAGTATTCTTTTAAAATTTTCTTCTTAGTAAAAGACAATTTTATGACTTGTAAAGGTCACATAAAGCATGATAAAAACACAACCCTAATTAATATAAACAACCGTCTGTATCACTGTAACCAGTTAATGTTAAGGTCAGGTTACTAACCGAAATTTATTCATTAATTACTAAAAGATTTTGCATTAATTAATGCAAATAATGCTCAATGATGTATAAAACCAGGTCAAGGCAAAAGAGCATAATATGTTTCTTCTTAGAAATCCACAATATTTCTCAATATAAGACAAAAGCAAGGCTTCGGTTTAGTTTGACGGTACCTTATGGCTGGGCTAAGTTGGGCGGTACCTTAGGGCTGGGCTAAGTTGGGCGGTACCTTAGGGCTGGGCTAAGTTGGGCGGTACCTTAGACTTTGGCCAAGTTTGAAGATGGCTTGACCTAATCCAGTTTTAAAGCCGCAACAACACCTTTATCCCGTACTCTTTTTTTAAATTTTTTTTTTTACAATGAACAGTTTAAACAATAGTTAGTTATTAGATGTAACATGCGTTTAGAAATTTTTAACGCAATTTTAAATGCAAGATTAGAATGAATTTACAAAATACACGGTGGATTGAAAAAACATTACTGTGTGGCGTCCTCTCTTCAACTCATCTGCCATGCAGTAAAATAAAATGTTAAACCTCCCCAACCCTTCATTCTACGTTATCAAAATAGTGCACGATCAATTACCTACCCACTGTAAACAGGTTCTGTTAAGTCACTTAACAAACACAACTTTGGACTCGTTTTAACAGTTGGTGGAGGGTCGGCCGGATGTGTGCTGGCTAAACGGCTGTCAGACGGCAATGACGTCACCGTGCTGCTCCTGGAGGCCGGGGATAGCGACTGGGGAAACCCGCTGATTAGCACGCCAGGCTACTCGACGGTCAACTTCAAGTCTGGGACTGACTGGGAGTACTACACGGAGACCCAGGAGGGGGCGATGACAGGGTTAAAAAATAATGTAAGATGTGGTGACCAGTGTTTCTTCCAGAAATTTTCTTCCGGGGGGGGGGGGGGGGAGGGGTACTTGCAATTTTTTTTGGGGGGGGGGGGGGACACACACACTGTTAAAAGAATATATTTTCTAAATAAATTACATTTCGGTAGGCTCTCTTGGGGGAGTTGGGGGGGGGGGGGGGGTAAACAGAGCCCCGTAGAGATGCCTGGTAGAAACACTGGTGGTGACAGGGTTCAATGTTGATGTACGTTGTAAACAATAATTTATAATAATGTATGAAGAAGTGAAAGAGTGAATTAACGGTACAAGGTTTGGTGATAGGGCAGTTATTGTGTAAGGAATATTTACACGGTTAGACTATTTTTGACAAGATAATATTGTATGCTAATTAAAGATAATTAGGTAGATTAACAGCGCTGAGTGTTACACGCACAGCCAAGGTGAACTCTCGTTCTTATTTTAAATGCGGCTTTTATTGTGTAAAATCAAAGCTCATTAGTCTTATGATGTCAGTTTTTTTTTGGTATTTCTAATAGACTGCTTCCTCTACTTTATTGATCCTGGAGGGTGTCACCATATGTCACATACACTGTCACTTTATGATTAACTGAACAAGTTCCCTACCCATACTTTGTTTATGTCACATGTGTACATAGTATTGATGCTATGTAACATCTTAAATCTTTAAGTTCGCCAGACATGCTAATTTTACAGTCTGTCAATATCCTTTCATTTCTCAATATGTAACCCTATTCAATGTACCCATACTAGTTTCATGTATAACCATATTCAATGCCACCATACTAGCCCCAAGTATAACCATATTCAATGTCCCCATACTAGCTCCATGTATAACCATATTCTATGTCCCTATACAAGCCCCAAGTATAACCATATTCAATGCCCCTATACTTGCCCTAAGTATCAACATGTACAATGGCCCAACTCTTTCCCCATATAATGTACTATGTAATATCTCTATCTTACCCCTGCTACAATGCAAAACCTTCACACAATTTGACAGCGATTAGTTTCAGTTACCATTGTTATCTACATCATCATCTAACAAATGCCATTATTGAAGTAACAAATACGTTTATACATGATTATAATTTGCAATCACCTGCGTTGTTAATAAAGATTGACCAGATTTGTTAATTGAATTTTAATTGTTTTACTTAATTGGAATATTATTCTAACAGCGCTCTTTCTGGCCGAGGGGTAAGGTGTTGGGCGGGTCTGGTAGCATCAATGCCATGATCTGGGTGCGTGGGCTCAAACCCGACTTTGACAGATGGGCTCAGTACCTGGGCACTGATGACTGGGACTACAGACACGTCTTGCCTTACTTCAAGAAATCTGAGGACATTAAAGTACCTGAACTAAGGGATTCAGGTAACGATACAGCCGAACAGTGAACAAGTGGTAAGACTGGTCTTATGTGATGTAGCTGTAGAACGTGTTTTGTTAAATGGTCCACATAACAATCTGCGTTTTTTTAACTAGCTTTTCGGGGACGTGATGGGCTGCTTACTATAAATACGATCCAATCACCGAAGCCCATTGTCGAAACGTTAATGAAAGCAGCTGCAGCGATTGGCTACCCATTTGGACAAGATTACAATGGCGAAACTAAAGAAGGTAAGAGTAGTCGGACCTGATTCGGTTCTTCTACACTTACTGACACCGAAGTTATTAAAGTACTAAATTATAAATCTTTTTTTTTTTTTACAGCTATACTTCACTTGGTTTGACTTAACTCTCTTTACTCCTTGTGGAGCATGGGGCTTCAACCATAACCTTCCATTTAATTACAAAAAAACTATATTCTTTTCAGTTTCGCAACAAAATACTTACGGCACACTATTTTCCCAATTTAATAACTTATCTGAACGATCTCATGTTCATCCCACCCTATCAAGTACTAACACTATCTATTGTCTTCCCGAGCCAAACCCAATCCTCCCATATCCCCAAACGCTCACCACTGTGTATGCTCTGGTTTGTCCCAGGTTTCTTCTACACACAGTTCAACTTAAACAACAACGAAAGATGGTCAACCAGCAAAGCCTACGTCCACCCAATTCTGGACAGACCCAACTTCCACCTGGCTTTGAGATCCCACGTGACCAAAGTAAGTTTGTACTCACACTAGAAAATTGCAACTAGCAGCAATCAAGTCTTATTATCGACTAAATCCGTTATAAAATGAAATATTTTAAAAGTACTATTAAAGTACTGCATAAACGATTTTCTAAATAATAAGCCACATAAATTAAAATGAACAGAAAAGTTTTTTTTCTTCATAGAACTGACAATAGAGACATTTGCAATCACGTGAATACCAGTTTTAGACAATCTGTCACCAGCCAATTGTTTTTTGAGAAATGTCTTATAGCTAATATTATTTGGCCATTATGCTATCAGGTAAATACAATTCTGGACAATGTGTCATCAGCCAATTGTCATCTGGGAAATCAGGCATCAAGAAAAGTCAATTTATGAATCTTCTATCAGCAGTGTTTCTTCCAGACTTTTTTCTCCGGGGGGCACTTGATATTTTCGGGGGGGGGGGGGGGGGGGGGAGGTGAGGTCAACATTTTCCGGGGGGACGGACGGACACTAGTAAAAGTATATATTTTCTATAAAAATTCAATTTCGTTCGGGGGGGGGGGGGGGGCGGTAGATGCATGGAAGAAACTCTGGCTATCAGGCAAATGTCATTTGGAAAATCTGCTATGAGACAAATAGTACTCAGACAATCAGCGTAAAATAAAAGTCTTAACAAAAAAAAAATCAGCATTTATTTGTCATGAATTGACTAATTAAAAATTCACGTGCATTTGTACAATCTAAGAATATCTTTACACCTGGCTACAGGTGCTGATAGAGAAGAAGAGAGCTACAGGTGTGGAGGTCATCAAGGACGGCAGAAAGTTCACCGTCCAGGCCAGACGTGAGGTCATCTTGTCTGCTGGGACAGTCGGCTCTCCACAGATTCTCATGTTGTCTGGGGTCGGCCCTAGGAAACATCTGGAAAGTTTGAAGGTTCGGGGAGAGCTGGCATCCAACAATATATCTTATATTTTAAATCATGTTTTGTTGTTCATGATTATTACATGAATTCATTACCGTGCTGCAGATTTTGAAAATAAATATAAACACTATTTTCATGATTTGAAAATAAAAGTTCGCAGGATGAAACAATTTCACCGCCTGTATGACTCGGTGCATGAAACTCTACATGGCATTAAACTAAGTCCCAGTTTAGTTTAAAATAAAACATTGGCCCAGAAAGTGACACGGTTTTCTCCCCTTTTATCCAATCCTCTACCCAAGAAAATTTCAGGTCACATATTGACTCTTTGTTCTTTCCTCTTAGATCCCAGTTCACGCTGACCTCCCAGTGGGAGAGAACCTACAGGACCATTTGTTCTTCGACGTTGGGGTCAAGGTCAGGGAGCCGTTAACTGTTTCCATCGAGGAGATGAGTAATTCGTGGACCCATCTGAAGTACAAGCTGTTTGGCACAGGTAACCGTGTCTTCGTAACTCCCGTTCCGATTTATGTACATGAACACGGTGTACATGTACACACCTAACAGTTCCCTAGACTGTGTACACATTTGCTACGGTAACATATATAAATATAAGTTAGTTAACGCTTTACAGTTAGCGATCTTTCTTTAGTCATTACTAAGTTTGTCCAATCACTATAATGGGATCGCTATTCTGTCTGTCTTTCTGTCTCTCTGTCCTGAACGCTCTGGAGAAAGCACTAGGAAATTTAAAAGATGCATAGTACGATCGTGACGTCAAATGGAACATACAGCAAATTTTCAAAACGGAACGACATATTTAAAGTTCTAAAGCCGTAAAAGTACACATAATAAAATGACGTCAATTGTTCTAGAGTAAACAGAATTAAAAAGCCAATACACAATAATAATGACGTCTTCGACACTTAATAATACAGACACTAACATGCCCCCACCACCCCCACAGAAAAAAGTCTGAAAGAAACCTCTGATTGAGGTTTAGCAGCCAAAAATAGGAATCGGGTCTAGATTAAAGATGTCGGGTCTACCTTTAGTATGTATAATCAACAAATCCGACTATTGTTACATTTAGACGTTTTTCTCCGGGTGGGGGAGGGGTGGGGGAACTAAATTATCCTGAAGGGAGGGGGCCGACACTGGTAAAAATATATATTTTCTATATAATTTCTATTTCGCTCAATATAGCGCACGTTATATTTATCCCTCAACGGACCAATTTACCGTTTTGGACTATTTGACATCAAATCAACGTGAATTATACTAGCTATTGTAAGATTATTAAATCTATCGTCTAAAATTAGTCTAGAACACGTAAGAATAGGCGGGTTGGGACAAAAGGGCGATGATGCCGGCGGTAACTGACTTCGCTTTTTGATGGTTGTCTAGATAGGAGCTATGTAGTGACACATTTTGCGATATTAGACATTTTTTAAATGTCTGTCTTATGGTTTGTCGGCCTTTTGGTTTATCGGCATTATGTTTTGCCGGCCTTATGGTCTGCTTTATGTTCAGTCGGCGTTTTGGATATCGGCCTTTTATCATACACCCGAATAGGCCTATAGCAGTTTTTAGGTTGATGTATAAACAAAATCATATCAAGATATAATAAATAATTTTTTTGTGACAAAAATATATTACAACGAGAAAAATGGCCCGTTGAGGAAGGATACAACGGGCGCTAGGTTGATAGTGCTGTCTATTTTCTCGGTACTTTAATTTATACAAAATATAGTCATAGGCATATCCCTAAACCATGCACCTAATCTCATTCATGACAAAAGTCGCATTTAGAGTTTCTTTCAGTCAACTCTACTTGGGAGGAAAGGGCTTCGCCCCCCTCCCCCCCCCCACACACACTCCAAATCATGTCTACCGTCCTATTCAACGAAATATAATTATATACTTTTTCCAGTGTCCGCCCCCTCCCAGAAAATTCTACCCCCGCCCCCGAAAATTTCAAGTACCCCCACCCCTCTCTGGGGAGGAAAAAGTCTGAAAGAAACACTGGTCGCATTTGTAGATCATACAAACTAAAGGAAGAATCTGGGCGGGGCTTCGCCCCTACCGGAAGAGATGCTTGAAAAAGAAAAAACAACTGCACGCTAAACACTTTTTAGATTAGAAAAAGTTCCCCCCTCCGGGGAGGAAAAAGTCTGAAAGAAACACTGGTGTCGCGCTTACCCACTACCCGAAGAATTGCATTAAAGAAATTGCAAGAAAACCACTTTTTAGATTAGACACATTAATTAGGCGGTAATTTTATTATAGAGTATCGATGAAGAAATTTCTTTTGAGTTAGGGAGAGGGGGGGGGGGGCTCAGACGTTCTTACGCGGGGGTGGGGCTTCGCCCCTACCCGAAGAATTGTATGAAAGAAACTCTTCATGCAAACCACTTAGATTAGACAAAATTGCCTTTTTATTCAATGTTTACTCGAGAATCAATGACGTCATATTACTGTGTGCACTCTCCGGCTTGATATTATTTTCTACTCTATGCTCAATATGACGTCATATATTTCGTTTTCGTTTCACTGTGAAAGTTTTTAAATTGCTTGTGTTTTCTCTAGAGCGTTCTTGTCAGATAGATACATACACAGATAGATAGATAGATAGATACACAGACAGCGAAACTATTATTATTGACGAGAAAAATGGCCCGTTGAGGAAGGATACAACGGGCGCTAGGTTGATAGTGTTGTCTATTTTCTCGGTACTTTAATTCATACAAAATATAGTCATAGGCATATCCCTAAACCATGCGACAAAAGTCGCATTTAGAGTTTCTTTCAGGCAACTCTACTTGGGAGGAGGGGGCTTCGTCCCCCCTTCCCCCCCCCCCCCACACACACACTCCAAAACATGTCTACCGTCCCATTCAACGAAATATAATTATATACTTTTTCCAGTGTCCGTCCCTCCCAGAGAATTCTACTCCCGCCCCCGAAAATTTCAAGTACCCCCACCCCTCTCCGGGGAGGAAAAGGTCTGAAAGAAACACTGGTCGCATTTGTAGATCATACAAACTAAAGGAAGAATCTGGGCGGGGCTTCGCCCCTACCGGTAGAGATGCTTGGAAAAATAAAAACTGCACGCTAAACACTTTTTAGATTAGAAAAAGTCCCCCCCTCCGGAGAGAAAAAAGTCTAAAAGAAACACTGGTGTCGCGCTTAGCCACTACCCGAATAATTGCATTACAGAAATTGCAAGAAAACCACTTTTTAGATTAGACACATTAATTAGGCGGTAATTTTATTATAGAGTATCAATGACATTTCTTTTTAATTGGGGGGGGGGGGGGGGGGCTTAGAGGTTCATTCTCGAGGGTGGGGCTTCGCCCCTACCCGAAGAATTGTATGAATGAAACTCTTCACGCAAACCACGTTTAAGATTAGACAAAATTGCCTTTTTATTCAATGTTTACTCGAGAATCAATGAATCAATTACTGTGTGCACTCTCCGGCTTGAATTTTTTTTTTACTCTATGCTAAAGAGGACGTCATATTTTGTTTTCGTTTCACTGTGAAGGTTTTTAATTTGCTTGTGTTTTCTCTAGAGCGTTCTTGTCAGATAGATACATAGCTAGATAGATAGATACACAGACAGCGAAACTATTAGTATTAAATAAAACATCTCATTAAAAAATCTGAAATTTTATCTAGAAACGAATGTCTAAAATAAAACAATTTTATCTACTTGCTAGTAATGCATATCTTATTGACGACAAAAACTTAGACATGTTCACTGTGTCGTCTTCCAGGTCCCCTGGCATCGCCCTACCTGATTGAGACCATGGCCTTTAAAAGCACAACCACAGAGACCAAACGACTCAACTGGCCAGACCTGCAGATCGGTTTCATCAATATCTTACCTCCAAGCACTGACAATACCTTCTCATACACCAATCAGGTGAGTTTCTGCACAAATGTTAGCAACAAGACACTTACACACCTGAGATTCCCATTACACTTGAACGTTTTCAAATGTCCAGGTGAAAACTGACCTGAGCGGAAGAGATTCAGCCAAATATGGCTTTTTGTGTCTCCCAGCACTGATACGACCGGAAAGTAAAGGGAAGATAACTCTACGTACAAGTGACCCGTTTGATTACCCGGCTATTGCCCCTGAATATCTGAGTAAACAAGATGATGTCGAGCTGCTCATCCGAGGTAAAAAAAAAAAATGTGTTTTTTTTTTCAACGGTTAATGTTACACTGATTCAATTATTACAGGTATACAATCGAGCGTGAAAAGAAAAATCTCTGTTCGTTTTAGAGAGCAGATTTTTAAAATTAACCTGAGTGGGTCAAAGGAAGTTCTTGCCGTAGTTATGCACCATATACACCTGCACTTACATTCTGCGTCTTGCGCAATGTAATCGCCGGTTCCAGAAAGACTGGAAATATCAAACAATTTTTTTTTACCATTAACGCTTTTAAACTATCGCATATAGTGCCAATGTGTACCTTGTCAGGTATTCAGGAGTGTGAGAAGCTGGTCAACACGGAGAAAGTCTGGAAATATCAAACAATTTTTCTTTTGACCATTATTCCTCTAAACTATCGCATATAGAGTCAATGTGTACGTTGTCAGGTATTCAGGAGTGTGAGAAGCTGGTCAACACGGAGAAAGTCTGGAAATATCAAACAATTTTTCTTTTGACCATTATTCCTCTAAACTATCGCATATAGAGTCAATGTGTACGTTGTCAGGTATTCAGGAGTGTGAGAAGTTGGTCAACACGGAGAAAGTCTGGAAATATCAAACAATTTTTCTTTTGACCATTACACCTTTTAAACTATCGCATATAGAGTCAATGTGTACGTTGTCAGGTATTCAGGAGTGTGAGAAGCTGGTCAACACGGAGAAAGTCTGGAAATATCAAACAATTTTTCTTTTGACCATTATTCCTCTAAACTATCGCATATAGAGTCAATGTGTACGTTGTCAGGTATTCAGGAGTGTGAGAAGCTGGTCAACACGGAGAAAGTCTGGAAATATCAAACAATTTTTCTTTTGACCATTATTCCTTTAAACCCTCGCATATAGAGTCAATGTGTACGTTGTCAGGTATTCAGGAGTGTGAGAAGCTGGTCAACACGGAGCCCATGAAAGCTGTGGGGGCTGAGCTGACCGAGGACAGACCAGCCGCCGCGTGTGGACATCACAGGTTCAAATCCCACGAGTACTGGGAGTGTGTGGTCAAGCAGAGGTCCTGTACGATATATCACTTAGCGGGGACCTGCAAGATGGGACCTAAAGGGGACCCCACAGCTGTTGTAGACGGGCAATTAAGGTGTTTATTTCATTTTAACATCCACATGATTATTTAAAGCTGATTTTTAATTCTGAATTATCCAATTCTGACTTATAATTGAAAATAAAGTAAGGTTTTTCTCAATAAAATATTCTAAACACTGAGTTAAAGTTTAATTTCCCTTGTAAACGTGTATTAAATCAGACCATTAACCTAAAAACTGAAGAAAAAAAACGTGAAAAAACCCCGCTGTTTATATAGTCAATGTGGTTTACGGTATGTCATGTGTCCAACGTATGAGATACACAATGCTTTATGTCTGTTGTCCACAGAGTCTATGGCGTGTCCGGCCTCCGTGTGGTCGACGCCTCTATCATGCCATGGGTTGTATCAGCCAACACGAACGCTGCGACAATCATGATTGCTGAGAAGGCGGCGGATCTAATCCTTAACAGAGCCACTTTACCTCCACAGAATCAATAACCAAATTGCCGTGTTTTAAAAATTGTAGGCAGCTAGGTTGATTGTAGATAAAGTTAGCCTAAAAGTGTAGATGTGTGTGCTATTTTCTTTGAGCGTCTAAAGCCATTCCATAATCCAGTAACTTTATTAATGCGAATGTGTCATAAATATTTAGAAAAAATAATTTAAGCGTTTTGAATTATACAACTGTTTCTTATATATATATATATATATATATATAAATATATAAATATATATATTGTTAATGTTGTCTTCCTTCAAATGTCTATGCCTGTTTTTAATAGCTTTTATTTAGTTTGCAACGTCTGTTTGTTTCTTTGTTGTTTTTTTGTGGGTTTGTGACAAATCTTGTAACTACAAGTGTATTTTTTATTTAATTAGATGTTTATTTAGCCATTAAAAATTAATTACGGTACCGAAACTAATGGGAGTTAACAAAATTAAATCACGTTGTAAGGGCGTTGTCATAAGTTTTGCCTAGGGCAATAAATAATCTGGCGCCGGCACTGTTTGTGTCTACTTTATAAATCAGAAATCACTAAAAAAATAGAAAATAAAACAAATATAAAAAAACCTTAATAGCAACAAGCTTTTAAATGCAATAAAATAAGTAAATAAAGCGAATTTGCTTTTTTAAAAATAAAATCTTTGTTCTTTCATGAGATGTTTCTCATATTTTACCGACAAAAAACTTAAGAAAGCAAATTCGCTTTATATTCTTATTTTATGCGCATTTGAAATTATGTTGCTATTAAGGTTGTTTTTATTTTTAATTTTTTTTTTGAAACACCAGATATATTTTTCTACCAGAACAAATGCGTATATATTATAGAAAATATAAATATGGAAAAATAATAAATGTTCTTTAGAATAAATTAAAAAATACAAAATTGTCTTCTGTTTTCTTTTAAACGATAAAATCTGTCTAGCTCAGGGGTCGGCAACCTTTTGAGACGCAAGAGCCAAAAGTTACAATTTACCACATTACCAGGTTTTTAAAGAGCCACTAACATTTTTATGTCAATAGTATATTTGTTTAGTAGTATATATATATAATCCTAAACAAATATCATACTATATATATATATATATATATATATATATATATATATATATATATATATATATATATATATATATATAATTTAAAATAAATAGCTTTGAATATATGAGATACTCTCATTTGAATTTGTGTTGAGATGATCTACCATGTAAGTCAGAGTACTTGCATTTGTTTTGACTTGCTCAAATCCCTCAGTGAACTCATCCTTCATTTTGTTTATATTAATGCTGAAGTAATTGACTAGTAGCATTGGTTTCATAACGATATTTTTTTCAGATTTTTCGTAATTAAATAATTTAACGCTCACCCTGTATTCAACAAAAAAGTATTTTTTTTCGAAACAAACCACTTTTTTTTAAGTAAGACATAGGCTAGATTTTTTTCAGTTTTACACTTAGCTGGTTTAGTTTCTTTGTGATATCCACTTTGAAGTTGAATGTTTCAATTCGGAATGGAAAATGTAATAGGAAGTACGCTGAGATATCGTTTATTACCGAGTGTTGCAGACTAATATTTTTATGAGTTTTGGAAATAAAATAAAATAATTATTAATATTTGTGCATGGAGCTGAAGAGCCGCAACTGGACACCAAAAGAGCCGCATGCGGCTAGCGAGCCGCAGGTTACCGACCCCTGGTCTAGCTGTAACTAAAGACGATATAGGACGGCCTGGTCAAGTGGTAGAGGATTCGACTGCTAATCCGAAATTCTCGAGTTCGGGTCCCTGGCTAGAGTCGTAGAGCGTCCCCCGAGTCTACTCAACTCTGATTGGTATCTGACTTACGATAGGGAATGTAAAGGCGGCTGGACATAGTGCTGACCACACTATCCCGTCATAGGCCGAGGTCACAGAAACAGGAGAACTCTACTTCACCATCACTCTACTTTACATCACAATAAATCCCATTATATGAAAATACATTACAGTACATCACACGACATCACAATACTCCACAACAAATCATAATAGATCACAAAACATTTTATATTATGCTTACATTTGTTGCCTTTAGGTAGGGAAAGCCCTTTAGAGAAAATGTGAATAAATAAACCGGGAGTGATCTCCCCTAAACTTTCTCGAATATTCTTATATAAAATAACAGGGGATGGGAACTCGGGCTATAGACATGATTTTTAATCCATTTTAAATACTTAAAGTTTTAAAAATAGAATAAAATCTCGTAGACAAATTAATTGCACACCAAGTAACGCGAATAAAAAAGCGCATAATAGTGCGCAATATTATTAGTACTTTTAAAATTTACATTAGTTTTTTGAGAAATCGGAAGTAGCGTAAATAAGTACTTCCGGTCAACGAAAAATTCTCAAAATTTGACAGAAGGTAGAGAATTAGATCTTTTACTTACATATCAAATTTCATTTATCTATCTGAAATAGTACTCAAGTTATAGGCTTTTGAAAAATTCAAAGTAGAAAAAGTACCACTTCCGGTTATCCGAAATCGCTCAAAAGTTGATACGGATCTACGATTTTGATAAAATACTTATATATGAAATTTCATCAACCTAGCTGTAACGGTACTCAAGTTATCGTGTTTACACACGGACACACACACACACAGACACACAGACATACGGACAGAATTGCAAAGCCCAGTTTTTCAGACTGGAATACGCATAAAACCTTTTAATTTTGATAAATCTGGATTGATAATTTTTGCCCGATTAAAATAAGTCCTCTATACTTCGGATGTGATGAAGGACTGAGGTGTAATACGGTGAAAATAGTTAAAATTTCAAGTGATTTTTGTGCACGATTACAATACTTTCTCTATACTTCGTATATACGAGAAAGTAAAAATGTCTTTGCGTTTTAATAATTCAAAAATATTCACTTATTATTCATTTAATTTAAAAAAAAATAAATGAAATAATTCCAGGGTTGCTTGATGCAGTGGCGTTACTAGGATTTCTGGGCCCCTATGCAAAAATTATAGGCTACAACGGAGTTTAACAAAGAAATCAACTTCTACTCACGTTGGAGGGTTTTAATTAATAATATGAATATGCTGTACATTTTGTATTTTATACATAATGATACTATATTATTATGTAGGCCTACAACCCCTTAACTTTGTAAAAATCTTACAGGCTTAAAAGTAATTTTTTTTCTATGTAACCAAACACAGTAGCATCACAAGGCGGGGGTAGAGGTGTGGTCCGCATCTAATGATAACTTTTATGCGTGACACAATGGCAAAACAATGTAAAATTTACTTTCAATAAACTATGCAAAATTCTTAGGTGACACCTTTAGTAAGCGCATAGGGCGACACCTGACCTTGTGACGCCACTAACCATGCACACATTTTTAAAAATTGCTCATGATTTATTTAGATCTGTTTTTTCCCATGGTTTTAATTTTGCAAAATGACTAATAAGTTCTCTGAGATCCATTTTAGCTGCTTCTGTATGTACTATTCTTTGGATGGCCAAGTTACTGACCCATTGGGCATATCTACAATTTGTTTCATTGCTGCGATGTAGTCCCACATACCAGGGTAACGAAACAATAATATTATTTGTAAGGGTATCATCAACGCGTTAACAATTGTGTATTTTTGTCGCATGACTTTCTTTTCAAAAACTGAGATAGTTGATATGTAAACAACACCACTACTATTTTTCGGATCGTTGTTGCTGGGGCGTAGGTTGGTCCACATTACCGCTCAGGTGAGGTTTAAATCATCGAACGTAGAGGCCCACAGTGTCAATATTGTAGAATACTCGTCATTTGTGTCATCAGTACGCCGACGGCGTCAAAAACCGCCTCTGATACAGTTTGACCGTTGAATCAAGTAGTACCCCTGACTCTGCAGGACGTGCAATAATCGGATCCTTTGCACTCAGGTAGTTGCTGGGTAACTCGGGGCGCCCAATAGTCACTACTGCTGATCCGTATCCCTAGTGAATGTCGCTCATTAAAACGAATAAAGGCGCCGTAATGCCCCGGGCACCTCGGGTTACACGACCGCCGGGGCGTCGGCTGATGCGCCTGTGCAATTTGACAGCTGAATCAAGTAGTAACACTGTCGCGCTGTGAAGGTCCCCCAATCAAACGGACCCCAGGTGCAAAGATAGCCGCTGGGAAACTCTGGGTGACGAACCGCATTACCTTACGGCCGCCTTCCGAAATAAAATAAACGTTTAATGGCAGAAACCTTCCCAAAAGTCTGAGTTTCTTTCAGGATCCCTTTTCAAAAAAATGTTTGAAAAAAAACAACTGCCTGGAGTAATCCCAACGACTAACCAAAAAAACGGTTAGTGTTAGTAGCGCCATAATGATTAAGGATTAATTAGATAAAAAAATGAGATGTCGTTAAGGTAAAAATGAGAAAATCATTGACAAATGTTGGACTTAGCTTGTTGTAAAAACACTTTCCATGGTTGTTATTTAAAAAAAAATGCCTCAATTGTTATCATGGCTGTTTAGTAGGGTGAAATTTTGGGGAGGCCAGACACTTGGGAGGGAGGTGCAGGTCTGCGGGCAGGGGTAGGGAATTTCACCGCTAGTTGTGGTTGATAGCGATGCATGTACATTTACGGGTGCCAGATGCCTATCTCACAAAAAGAGTCAAAGTTCAAGTTTATTTATAGGCTAATTCTTTCTATAGTGTTATTACTACGGATGGGCCCTGCCCATCGCCACCTCGCCCCCCCCCCCCCCCGACCACACTCACTGAATGCCACTGCCTGTACAGTAAGAAACGACTGGGGGCCCTTTTGGAAATTGTTATTATTTCTAAAGTATAAAAGAACCTGGATTTCCATTTTCTTCTTAAACTTATTTATATGAAACAAATATTAAAATCCTAATGTCAAAGTTTAAATTTTTTTTTAAAGAAAGAAAATGACCCTTATTTGTTTTGGGCCCCTATGCCTTGATTACGCTAGCTTTACGGTGGCTACGCCACTGGGTTCATGCCCCATTCACTCACCCTTCACCCCAACAGCGAGATCTCCCAACCTTTGACATACTCCCCCTAGCACACTGCGATCCAAGGACCAGAATAATCGAGATTTCTCTGACCTACTTGCAAGTACGCAATGGGCCAGTAGTGTTTGATCTGTTCAGCATGTCTGCCGCGCTGTGTGCCTGTCTAGTGCTCCTGTTGGCCGTCTCTACGACAATCTTCATCAACACCAGGACCAATTCACCACACGGATCATCTGTGATTGACAGGTTGAATTCTACTTATGATTACATTATAGGTGAGTACAGGATGTGGATGCCTGTAGTGAAGTTTTACAGTTTTAGAGACAGGAGTGAATGTTGTCATGACAGTGACAGGACATCTTTTTTTTTACATGATAGAAATCTAAAATCTAGATTCTAGATCGATATTGTTAAGTCTCATATATTCTTTAAAAAATATAACATATTTAGGCCATGGTAATAAGAATACATCAATTTTAAAATAATAAATACATAATTTAATGCAGGCATGTTACATTTTCTTTGAAAAACTCCATTCTAGATCTAGATCTATTCTATTAGTTATAGAGATCTAGATCTATTAAGTTATATTGAAACTTGTTTCCATCTTTAGTATGAAGTATGAAGAGATGTATTGCTAAGTCAGTAAGTGTATAGCCTAGTCTAGATTCTATGTCTGACTGTTTAACTGTTTAACTGTTTCACCATACCTAAGTATTCTGTTTAAATTTTCGTCTTGATAAAAGTAAAAGACAATTTCACGGTTTGTAAAGGTCACATAAAGTATGATAAAGGCACAACCCTTATTAATATAAACAACCCGGTTGTATCACTGTAACCAGTTACATCGAAATTTTATATTCATTTGATCTAATTAAAAATAATACCATCGGCTAGAGGACGCCAAATGGTTTAAAAAAATACCAAATACAAGACTGTAGCTCAACCACAAGCCGAGATATCGAATTTAATCGTTGAATTATTCGAACACTCATAAGTCAATGGGAAATCCTCAAAATGTTGTTGCTCTTTTATTAAAATCAGAACAAATCTGTTAGGACTTGTACAGATATGTAATCCCATTTTTATGGTTAAGGTCAGGTTACTAACCGAAATTTATACATTAATTACTAAAAGATTTTGTTTTAATTATGCAAATGATGCTTAATGAGGTCATGAAACTAGGTCACGGCAAAAGAGTTAAGTCTGTTTTCTACTTAGAAATCCACGATATTTCTACATAAAAGACAAAAAACAAGGCTTTGGCTAAGTTGGGCAGTACCTTATGCTTTGGCTAAGTTGTTCGATATCTTAGTTCAAAATCAGCTTTCTTTAAAAAAAATGTAAGTTTAAAGGTAGTATTAGTATTGTTAATTAAATCAAGGCAATTTTCGAATGCAAGTCACTTGTAAGAAATATTTATTGTACGTTGCTCTGTCGAAGCTAGGTGCGTCAACTCCGTTGTATTCAATCATTCAACCAAGCCAATGCAAGATAAAAATGTATTTACAAAACTATTAGCTATTGAAAAACATTATTGTGTGGTGTCCTCACTTTAACTTCTGCCACCGCACGCAATCAAATAAAACGTTATACCACCCCCAACCCTCCCCTCTACGTTATCAAAATAGTGCACTGCCAATCACCTACCCACTGAAAACAAGTTCTGTTAAGTCACTTAACAAACACAACTTTGGACTCGTTTTAACAGTTGGTGGAGGGTCGGCCGGATGTGTGCTGGCTAAACGTCTGTCAGACGGCAATGACGTCACCGTGCTGCTCCTGGAGGCCGGGGATAGCGACTGGGGAAACCCGCTGATTAGCACGCCAGGCTACTCGACGGCTAACTTCAAGTCTGGGACTGACTGGGAGTACTACACGGAGACCCAGGAGGGGGCGCTGACAGGGCTCAACGATAATGTAAGGTGTGATGACAGGGTTCAGGTGGTGACAGGGTTCAGTGGTAATGTATGGTGTGGTGACAGGGTTCAGTGATAATGTATGGTGCGGTGAAAGGGTTCAGTGGTAATGTAAGGTGTGGTGACAGGGTTCAGTGATAATGTATGGTGTGGTGACAGGGTTCAGTGATAATGTATGGTGCGGTGACAGGGTTCAGTGATAATGTAAGGTGTGGTGACAGGGTTCAGTGATAATGTATGGTGTGGTGACAGGGTTCAGTGATAATGTATGGTGCGGTGACAGGGTTCAGTGATAATGTAAGATGTGGTGACAGGGTTCAGTGGTAATGTAAGATGTGGTGACAGGGTTCAGTGGTAATGTAAGGTGTGGTGACAGGGTTTAGGTGCTGACAGGGCGCAACAAAAATGTAAAGTTTGGGGACAGGGTTCAATGATGATGTAAGGTGTGGTGACAGGTTCAATGATGATGTAAGGTGTGGTGACAGGTTCAATGATGATGCAAGGTGTATGAAATAGGTAAATAGTAGTGATAGAGTAAATTAACGCTAAAAAGTTTGGTGATATGGCAATTATTGTGTTAGGAATATTGATAGGGTTTAGTTATATTGTTGTAGATTGAACCCTGACTGAGTTCAACAACAATGAACAACCTACTGCTATAAATAGGAAATATAATTATAACAACGATCATCATCGCTGCTTGTCTCCCCTTTCACTGTACACCTCTAAACAAGAGAAAGTAAACACCTTTTTTATCCCTACACAGGATATCACACAACTCATGTTTCAACACAGACACAAACACACCAATCAGTGGCATGCTAAAAAAACGCATTGTAAAGGGGGTGGGGGGTGGGGGGGGGGAGAGGGTGGGGGGGGGGGAGCGGATGATAAGATAATATTGTATGTTAATTAAAGGTAATTAGGTAGATTAACAACGCTGAGTGTTACACGTACAGACACGCTGAACTCCCCGTACTTATTTGATATGCGGCTTGTATTGTATAAAATCAAAGCTCAGTAGTCTTATGATGTCATGCTTTTGGTATTTCTACCAGACTACTTCATTCATCTTGGAGGGTGTCACCGCATGCCCTAGGGTATCATACCGTCATACCCTGCCACTTTATAACTAACTAAGCAAGTTCACAACCCCTACTTTGTTCATGCCACGTTCGTACATAGCACTGATTGTATGTAACAACACCATGGACTTGAATGGGTGTGTGTGGTTGTGGGAGGGTAGCTTAAATCGTTAAGTTCGCCCGACATGCCACTTATTCTGCCTGTCCTTTATCCTCTATTTTTTCGATGTATTATCTTCAGTTGCTATTGTTATCTACATTATTATCTAACAAATGCCTTCACTAAAATAACCAATACGTTCACACATGATTATAACATATATTCACCTGCGTTCCTAATTAAGATTGACCAGATTTGTTAATTGAATTTTAATTGTTTTGCTTAATTGGAATTCTCACAGCGCTCCTTCTGGCCGAGGGGTAAGGTGCTGGGCGGATCTGGCAGCATCAATGCCATGATCTGGGTGCGTGGGTTCAAACCCGACTTTGACAGATGGGCTCAGTACCTGGGTACTGATGACTGGGACTACAGACACGTCTTGCCTTACTTCAAGAAATCTGAGGACATTAAAGTACCTGAACTAAGGGATTCAGGTAACAATACAAGCTGGTATAAAGCCGAACAGTGAACAAGTGGTAAGACTGGTCTTATGTGATGTAGCTGTAGTCCAAACTGTAGAACGTGTTTTTTTTAAATGGTCCACATAAAACACTGCGTTTTTTAAAACCAGATTTTCGGGGACGTGATGGGCTTCTTACTGTAAATACGATCCAATCACCGAAGCCCATTGTCGAGACGTTAATGAAAGCAGCTGCAGCGATTGGCTACCCATTTGGACAAGATTACAATGGGGAAACTAAAGAAGGTAAGAGTAGTCGGCCCCTATGCGATTGTTCTAAACTAATCTAAACTTACTGACACCGAAGTTATTGAAATATTTAAATATGAATATTTTTTTACAAATATACTTCACTTTTTTTGACTTATGTTCTCTTTACTCCTTGTGGAGCATATGGCCTCAACCATAACCTTCCATTTTATTTATAAAAAAACAACAACAATTAGATTCTTCTCAGTTTAGACTCACAATACAAGCTCATCCGTAACTTAACCATTCTGTGCGCTCGCCTGTGCCTAAGCTAAATCCCACCCCAGCAAGTACTCACTCTAATGTTAACGCTATTGTCTTCCGGAGCCAAACCCAACCCTCCCATATCCCCAAACGCTCATCACTGTGTACGCTCTGGTTTGTCCCAGGTTTCTTCTACACACAGTTCAACTTAAACAACAATGAAAGATGGTCAACCAGCAAAGCCTACGTCCACCCAATCCTGGACAGACCCAACTTCCACCTGGCCTTGAAATCCCACGTGACCAAAGTAAGTTTGTTGTCACACTAGAAATCTCCAGCTAGCAGCCAACAGAAGCAATTTGTATAACAATCAAATTCCATCTTTGTTCCTCTATAGATTAAACTACATCATAAACGATTTTCTAAAAAAAAAAATGAACATAAAAGGGTTTTTATTCATGCAACTGACATTTGGGAAAATCTGCCATCAGCAAAATTCCTTTTTGGCAATTTTCAATCAAGCATATGCCGTTTTAGACACTCTTTTATCAGCTAATTGTCATTTGAGAAATCTGGCATCAAGGTAGGGCAGTCTGTCATCAGCCAATAGTCATTAGAAAAATCAGTCATCAAGCAAATGTCATTTGGGCAATCTGCTAGGAGCGAAGTGATACTCAGACAATCAGCGTCTTAATAAATATAATTAGTATTTATTACTCCAATTACTTTGACATGAATTGACTAATAAAAAAATCACGTGCATTTGTGCAATCTAAGAATATCTTTACACCTGACTACAGGTGGTGATAGAGAACAAGAGAGCTACAGGTGTGGAGGTCATCAAGGACGGCAGAAAGTTCACCGTCCAGGCCAGACGTGAGGTCATCTTGTCTGCTGGGACAGTCGGCTCTCCACAGATTCTCATGTTGTCTGGGGTCGGCCCTAGGAAACATCTGGAAAGTTTCAAGGTTCGGGGACAGCTAACATCCAACAATATAGATTGCAAAATATATTTTGTTGTTCATTATTATAACATGATTTCATTACCTTGCTGCAAATTCAGAAACGAAACATAAACATAATTTATACGTTGAAAATGAAACTTTGCAACGTGAAACATTTTAGCATGTGCATGACTCAGTGCATGAAACTCTACTTAGCTCAAATCTTAGGCCCAGTTTAGTTTTGAAATAAAACATTGGCCCAGAAAGTGACACGGGTTTCTTCAGTTGTACACAGTTCTGTACTCCAGAAAGTACCAGGTGACAGATTGACTTTTAGTTCTCTCCCCTTTATATAGTTCTCTACTCTAAAAGTACCAGGTTACAGACTGATTCTTTCCCCTTAGATCCCAGTTCACGCTGACCTCCCAGTGGGAGAGAACCTACAGGACCATTTGTTCTTTGACGTCGGGGTTAAGGTCAGGGAGCCGTTAACTGCTTCCATCGAGGAGATGAAGAATTCGTGGACACATCTGAAGTACAAGCTGTTTGGCGCAGGTAACCGTGTCTTCATATCTCATGTTCAGATCTGTGTACATATACAGAACTAACAGTTCCCCGGACTGTGTACATAATTCATACAGTAACAAATAGGCTTATATACCTTAGTTAACCGTCTACAATTAGCGATCTTTGTATAGTCTTCATTACGATTGTCTAATGTAAAATAGTTTTGGACTATTTGGCATGAAAAAAACCTTGAAATAAACTAGCTATTTTGAGTTAATTAAATCTATAGTCTACAATTCTGTAAGATATCGTTTAAATAGGTCTATTGCAGTATTTAGGTTGACGTTTAAAAAAAATATTTCAAGACATAATTTAATACATTTTTTTTGACAAAAATATTTTAAAATAAAACAACAAATAATAAAATCTGAAATTAGATCAGGAAAAGAATGTCTAAAATAATTTTTTGTCTACTTGCTAGTAATGCATATCTAATTGATGGCAACAATGGACTTAGTTCACTGTGTCGTCTTCCAGGTCCACTTGCGTCCCCCTACCTGTGTGAGACTATGGCCTTTAAAAGCACAACCACAGAGACCAGACGACTCAACTGGCCAGACCTGCAGATCCATTTCATCAATATCTTACCTCCAAGCTCTGACGGTACCTTCTCATACAATAGCCAGGTGAGTTTCTACCTTATACACCAATCAGGTGAGTTTCTACCTTCTCATACAATAGCCAGGTGAGTTTCTACCTTATCCAACAATCAGGTGAGTTTCTACCTGCTCATACAATAGCCAGGTGAGCTTCTATCTTATACACCAATCAGGGGAGTTTCTACCTTATCCAACAATCAGGTGAGTTTCTACCTTATCCAACAATCAGGTGAGTTTCTACCTGCTCATACAATAGCCAGGTGAGTTTCTACCTTATCCAACAATCAGGTGAGTTTCTACCTTATCCAACAATCAGGTGAGTTTCTACCTTATCCGACAATGAGGTGATTGTCTACACAAATCTTGATGTTAAAAGACAATACCCAAACACCCGAGATTCCCATTACACCTGAATGTTTTCAAATGTCTAGGTGAAAACTGACCTGAGCGGAAGAGATTCAGCCAAATATGGCTTCTTGTGTGTCCCAACACTGATACGTCCAGAGAGTAAAGGGACGATAACTCTACGTACAAGTGACCCGTTTGATTACCCGGCTATTGCCCCTAAATATCTGAGTAAACAAGATGATGTCGAGCTGCTCATCCGAGGTAAAAAAAATGATTTGCTGTTTCCACGGCTAATATAACACATATTCGATTGCTATAGTTATAGGTTTACAAGAAAAAGAAAGAAAAAAAAAGCTTTGTCCTATTTAGAGATTTCTTTTCGGTATCCTGACAGAGTAGGTCAAATGAAGTTATTGTCACAATGTAACATCACATACATAAACATTTACATTCTGCATCTTGATTAATGTTATTGCAAGAACCAGTAAATCTAAAAATAAGTTTAACGATTTACAAACACCAGGTAAGCTGGTGTTATTTTGACCATAATTCGTTTAAACTTAAACCATCGCATATAGAGTCAATGTGTACGTTGTCAGGTATTCAGGAGTGTGAGAAGTTGGTCAACACGGAGCCCATGAAAGCTGTGGGGGCTGAGCTGACCGAGGACAGACCAGCCGCCGCGTGTGGACATCACAGGTTCAAATCCCACGAGTACTGAGAGTGTGTGGTCAAGCAGAGGTCCTGTACGTTGTATCACCCGGCGGGGACCTGCAAGATGGGACCTAAAGGGGACCCCACAGCTGTTGTAGACGGGCAATTAAGGTTTATCAAATTTCCTTTTCAACATCCGAATGTTTATTAAACTTGACGCTAAATCATTTAGTACTGGCTTATATGTGAAATTAACTTAAACTTAAGCAAGGTTTTATTTTCAAAATTATATTACTTGGATACATTTTAAACACTGTAATATAAAATTTAGACCCAAAGTAACTTCGACCCATTAAAAAATAAAATAAAAATACGTTGCAGTTGTGGTCAATGCTTTAACAAAGGGGTTTACATTATGTCATATGTCCAACGTATGATGTAAGCTACACAATGCTTTATGTCTGTTGTCCACAGAGTCTACGGCGTGTCCGGCCTCCGTGTGGTGGACGCCTCTGTCATGCCGTGGGTTGTCTCAGCCAACACCAACCCTGTGACAATCATGATTGCCGAGAGGGCGGTGGATTTCATCCTCAACAGACCTCCTCTGCCGCCACAAAATGGATGAACAAACAACAGCAGCACTTTAGAGAGTTTTGTTACTGCCGGGCAAACTAAGTCTAAACCTTGTGTATTCATTCTCATCATAGGCGCACAGTAAATACCGCTTCTTGGTGAAATATATAGGAGATAGCTTATATATATATATATATATATATATATATATATATATATATATATATATATATATATATATATATATATATATATAATGTCAATACGATCTTCTCCATGTCATTTCCACAACTCTTCGATTTGACTGTTTGCCCAAGCTTATTGGTTGTGTATATTGTGATGGCATTCCAACACATACCAATGTTTCTAGTGCACATTTTTATTTTATTACTTTAATATTGTTTTTATATCAACATATTTCTGTTTTTTTGTTGTTGCTTTGACGCTTTTTAGTGACTGTTGTATTGCAATTTTTAATAAAATGTCTTGATACACACATTGCATGGATTTGTTTTTAAATTAAATGTAATACATATTTATAGTGGTACATAATTTCAACTTATACTTATTCATTTTTAGTTACCTTCAACAAAATATAAATGTGATCTGGATATAGATCTAGAACTAAAGTCGCTCGTGTTAAACCAGGGGTCGGCAACCTGCGGCTCGCGAGGCGCATGCAGCTCTTTTGCTGTTAAGATGCGGCTCTCCAGCTCCTTGCACAAAAATTAATAGTTATATTATTTCATTTTCAAAACTCATATCAAATATCATAATATAAAGAAAACAACTATAAACAGAATTAAAACACTTATCAGAGAACATTGAGAATATGTGCAGTAAAAGTATACGGACAGCTGACAGCAGCTTGGGCACCAAGCCCAGCCCCACAGCCGTGCAATGCTTGCCACTGCCCAAGTGCCGACTTTTTCGAATGTTTTTAAATGGGGAATGTTATTTTATTCAGAATGTATTTCCCCATGCGTAAGTAATCATTAATTCGACGTGAGTGAAATAGTTGTTTTTAGCTTCGTACTGTTGAGCCGGGTACTGGACTATGGGGTACGAGCGTAACCTGTGTTCAGTGGAAGATAAGCCTGGTAAGAGCCAAAGGATAGGAGCGGCCCATACACTGTTATCAAACCGATATTCAAGCCAGTTAGTCGGAGTTGGTAGTGTTGAGGCCTGACTGGCTAATGGGTGACACCTCCTGAGCCGGTGATGTCCGTAAAGAAAGAAAAAAAAAGTTAACAGCTTCTAAAGTGGTTTAGGATGGTCCTATAGTTATATTATTTGATTATATTATTTGATTACTAAGTTTATTATTCTGGCGAAACATGTGTATGTTTTTATATGAATAAATATTATTTCATATTTATGACTATTTATTTTAAGTAACTAATCACATTTATTTACCTAGTCCTAATCAAAAAATAAAATATTGAAATAAAAATGTGGCTCTTTAAAAACTGGGAAATGTTGAAATTTGCAACTTTTGGCTCTTCCGTCTCAAAAGGTTGCCGACCCCTGTGTTAAACCCAACGTGTCTGTGTGTAATCACTAGATAAGCTGTTGGCAGATTTAGTGACAAATCTGTGATTATGTGGTTAGTGCTTAGCTGAATCCACATGACAGGTGAAGGAGAGTTAATGTGGACAAGGCTGTGGTTGTGTGGCAGGTGTCTATCCGAACTCAGTTTTTGCAACTCAAGTAAGTAAGTCACGAGGCTCGTAAAAAGACAGGAGAGTCTCGCAAACGTAGGATCTACGTAAAGAACAAAAATATCACGCATAGCTCAGCGTGCGATACAGATTAAGTGATGTCCTATCAACAATGGATTGTCCTATAGAATTATTGACCTTATAAAATCCACGGATGTCCTACAGATTTAGTGACGTCATATTGTTTTAGTATCTTGACCACTAGGATTTCAGAGTTTGTCAAAACACTATCGCCAATACAAGAAACAATAAAGCATACATTTCGTATTTATTAAACATTTGGTATTTTTAAAGATAGAAATGCGTTTCAAATTTTGAAAATAAACAACAATCGCACAGAAATATTTAATTTTCTGAAAAGTTATACTTCAGATGTATGCTAATTCTCATATAATTGCTCATATGTTATGAATTAAAATCATATGTTATCATATGTTATGAATTAAAATATCAGTTACATATTTGAAAGACATGATGTTTAAATTGTTTTAATACAAGCATTTTAAATGTATAAAACCTATAGCCCAGTCTTGGTAATGAGATCTGATGCTTTCTCGGCAATCATGATGATGGCTGCGTTTGGGTTCCCTGACACAATGTCTGGCATGACAGAGGCGTCCACCACACGAAGTCGACTCACTCCGTACACTCTGGAAGTATTGGTGTAATGTAAGCCTCGGATTATACAGCTTATGATTATAATTATAATTATTATTAAATACTGTTGTAATTATAGAAATTCCGTGTAAGTATATTTCTTTATACAAATTAAAATATTGTCAGGTTTTGAAATTTCATATTGAATAATGCATCAGACGAATCCTTAAAGTTAAAACACATAATCTCCTTGGACGAATATTTTCAAGGTTTAAAATATTTCTTGTGGGGGTAGGACTGTCAACAGATTTGGAAGGTACCTGAGCTGGGTGTCCACCACGGCCGTAGGGTCACCTCTAGGTCCCATCTTGCAGGTCCCCACGGGGTGATAGTTGCTGAGTGGCCTCAGCTTGACCAGACACTCCATGTACTCGCGAGATCTGAACGTGAACTGGGAACACTGGGAGACGGGCGTGTCGTCAGTCAACTCAGCCCCGATAGCCTGCATGGTGCTGGTGTTGACAATCTTTTCACACTCTCTGATACCTGGTGGAAAGCAAATTACAAGTCAATTATCTATCTTTATATATATATATATATATATATATATATATATATATATATATATATATATATATATATATATATATATATATATATATATATATATATATATATATACATATAAGTACATTGTATGTAAAATGCAGCATAGTCTTTTGTTTAATGTGTACTCACCTTCAATCAATATATCAATATCATTCTTATTACACAGGTAATAAGCGTAGATAATTGGTTTATCGAAAGGATCTTTAGACCTCAGAGTTATCCTCCCCTGACATTTTGGTCGGATTACAGTTGCATGACACAGCATCCCATATTGTGTCTCGTCTCTTTTAGACAGCTGAGCTAAAACCTTTCAAACAGGGAGTCGTTAGATACAAGTTAGTTTAGACAGCTGGGCTTAAACCTTTTAAATAGGGAATCGTTAATTAAGTGCTGGTCACTTTAATTAGCTGGGCTAAAACCTTTCAAATAGGGAATCGTTAATTAAGTGCTGGTCACTTTAATTATCTGGGCTAAAACCTTTAAAGCAGAGGATCTTTAATTAAAGGCTGGTCACTTTAATTAGCAGGGCTAAAACCTTTCAAACAGGGAATCATTTATTAAGTGCTGGTCACTTTAATTAGCTGGGCTAAAACCTTTCAAACAGGGAATCATTAATTAAAACCTGGTCATTTTAATTAGCTTGATTAAAACCTTTCAAAGAAGGAATCGTTACATAAAAACTTCAATGATATCTAAACAAATTAAAATGTGTTAAGACTTTGTATTTTGCTCTGATAAACGACACAAATAAACCGAGATGTGGATACGGGGATAACTTACCTCTGGTGAGTAACCAAAAGCGAATTCGGAGGCTTTCGGTAGGAAAACAACAAACTCAAGCTGAAGGTTTGGTGAGTTTTGGGCATTAGTTGTTGACTTAAAGGCAAAAACTTCGGCCATGTTTGTAGCATATGGACCTAAGACATATATACATATATATATATATATATATATATATATATATATATATATATATATATATATATATATATATATATATATATATATTTGGCTAAATTAGACATATATTTGTCTATATTGATATATATATATATATATATATATATATATATATATATATATATATATATATATATATATATATATCAATATAGAAAAATATCTGTCTAATTTAGCCAAATGTTGATTATCTCATTGACTCAGCTAATATTTAGACCTATTCTGTTTGAATGTACCTGTGCCGTTGAGAACATACTGCATCAATGTGGTAACATCCATTAATTGACCTCTAGAGATGGTCAAGGGCTGGTCAATCTTGACACCTACATCAAAAGCCACGTGATCCTGGAGGTTCTCACCCACTGGTAGATCTTTGACCACGTTTATCTAGTGGAGCAATCACAAGTTTATGAATTCCCTTTTTGAGCTTACATGTGATACATAAACAATAAAGGTTGATGCATTAATCTGATAAAAATCGTGCGTTATAAAAGATAAATATTTTATTTTTCTTTAAATTAAAATCCTAATGGTAAGCTAGTTAGGTTTACACGGTGGTAGTTAAAGCAATATTAAAACAATGCCTGTAAATCTTCCAGCTGTTTCCGAGGGCCGACCCCAGACAACATGAGAATCTGTGAAGAGCCGATGACCCCGGCAGATAGGATGACCTCCCGTCTAGCTTGTATAGTGTAGGTTTTGCCGTTCTTGGTGAACACAACACCGCTGACCGTATCATCGTGGATCAGTACCTGAACAATGTAATATAAATAATTTATATAATGTAATATGAATAATTTTACAAGTAACATACCTATTCTAATCGCTTTAATTAATTAATTAAAAATGGTTTTTGCTTAACGTTTATCATGTTTAAGTGTGTTCAAGATTTTAAAATGTGGTGAAAAATTACTTTGGTGACAGTCGAGTTGAGCGAGACGTGCAGGTTTGTCCTGTTTAACGCTGGGTGGATGTAAGCTCTGGCTGTTGACCATCTCTGGCCAAATTTGATGTTGTTTTGTGTCCTGGTAATTCCTGAAAATTTAAAAAATCAACATCTGAGATCGGAATCAGAAAAATGTGTAAATCAACTCTGTAGTGGGTCACATCTTAAAAAACACACTTATCATACGCTTAAACACACTGTGAAATCTTTTGCTGTTTTAAATAAAAAAATTAGTTCTAATTAAAAGTTACCATCCATGGTCGCCCCATTGTAGTCTTCATTCAGGTTGTATCCAACTTCTTGTCCAGCTTCCAACAGCTTGGCTACGATTGGCTGAGGGTCGGCATGCTGGATGGGGATTGGTCCATTTTGTCCGTGGTACTCTACAATATACAGATGGGAAGTGATGAATAATGAAAGGGCACTTAGAGGTAGCGTGGTTTGATAAGAGTTTTGGGTAAGGGATACGTGCGTTCTTATGGAGTAGAACATTACCCCCTGTCAATCACTCCGCGATCAATTATACACTACCCCTCCCGCAACCCCCCCCCCCCCCCCCAAAAAAAAAATGCAATATTACCAGCCAATCACTTACTACTCCTTTACCTAATAGGGATAGAGACATTGTTGTGTTTTGGAAAAATAATAGGGATTTGGTGAATAATAGGGTTATGCTCAGGGTTAGGGTTAATGTTTGGTATAACGAAAGTGTTGGGGATAGGGATAGAGATGTTGTTAGGAATAGGGATACGCATAAGGATAAGTATACGAAGCTGTATAATAGGGGTAGGTATTATAAAAGATAGGGGGAATAGTTCTAGACCCGGTCCTAAAAATGGTTCAAGTTGCAAAAAAAGTACGTCTACAAAAACAGCCACTTTTTAAATATAAACTAACATCGTGCGTCAAATAGATCAGCCATTAATTTTAAATAGTACACGTTCTAAAATAACCTGAGTTCCTGAGTTCCGGCACCAGCATGTCCTCCATCTTCTTGAAGTAAGGTAAGACATGGTTGTAGTCCCAGCTGTTATCTCTGACGTACCTGGCCCACCTGTCAAAGTCGTGTCTGGAGCCTCGAGTTATCTGCATGCCGTTGATGCTGCCAGTACCGCCTAGGACTTTACCACGAGGCCAGTACGAACGCTGGAAAATGTTTCATCACTTTACAGATAGGTCTTTAGCTACTGTAACTTTTATATTTAGATTTAAATTAATTTTGAATAATAAGTTTAACGTTTGCTTAAAATACATCAGTTATCAATAATTGCTTACGTAAACGAACCAACCCTCCCATCTAATGACTCACCCCACCAACCCTCCCATCTAATGACTCACCCCACCTACCCACCCATCTAATGACTCACCCCACCAACCCTCCCATCTAATGACTCACCCCACCAACCCTCCCATCTAATGACTCACCCCACCTACCCTCCCATCTAATGACTACCCCACCAACCCTCCCATCTAATGACTCACCCCACCAACCCTCCCATCTAATGACTCACCCCACCAACCCTCCCATCTAATGACTCACCCCACCACCCCTCCCATCTAATGACTCACCCCACCAATCAACCCTCCCATCTAATGACTCACCCCACCAACCCTCCCATCTAATGACTCACCCCACCAACCCTCCCATCTAATAACTCACCCCACCAACCCTCACATCTAATAACTCACCCCACCAACCCTCACATCTAATAACTCACCCCCCTACCCTCCCATCTAAAGACTCACCCCACCAACCCTCCCATCTAATAACTCACACACCAACCCTCCCATCTAATGACTCATCCCACCAACCCTCCCATCTAAAGACTCACCCCACCAACCCTCACATCTAATAACTCACACACCAACCCTCACATCTAATGACTCACCCCACCAATCCTCCCATCTAATGACTCACCCCACCAACCCTCCCATCTAATGACTCACCCCACCAACCCTCCCATCTAATGACTCACCCCACCAACCCTCCCATCTAATGACTCACCCCACCAATCAATCCTCTCATGTAATGTCTCACCCCACCAACCCTCCCGTCTAATGACTCACCCCACCAATCAATCCTCCCATGATGCCAGGCTGTGGTTCTGTAACGTAGCCCCAGTCTACACTGGACCCTATGTTGAGTGCAGCCAGCGCTGGGGTGGTCAGTAAAGGGTTCCCCCTGTCGTCTCCACCAGCTTCTACCAACAACACGGTGACGCCCCTGTCTTCTGACAGACGACCTGCCACAACACATCCTGCTGACCCGGCACCCACTGGGGAACATAAAACTTAATGAAGTTTTTTTTCACAACACAACACTGTATGTTAAAGAATAATGATCAGTACAATTGTAGTCGAGTCAGTAGGAAAAACGAAGCAGATATGAAGATGTGAAGAAAAGCTGTGGTCAGTAGTATGACCATTCTCCTTTCGTCTCTCCTGCTGGGGAAAGGAAAAATGGAATGGTGGACTGTGGGCCTTCCTGGGAGATGTTAAGGCTATCGAATTATAATTAAAGTTATGGTATTGAATTGATTGAGTTTGATAAACAAACTTAGGTTTAGCTTTTTATCGATACATTATACTGTTAGCTTAAATTATTTCTTTACCAACCAATTCCGTTATTAGTAGTTATATAAATACATTGTTACAATACACATCTATTAAAATAATCTTCCGTAGCAATGGGTTAACATTTAACCTAAAACGGGTAATATCCCTGATACAAGCCATTACTTAGCGCGAATTCGTGTACTAAGATGAATCCCAAGGTCACCCCTCCCCCTCCAAGTCACAGTACCTCAAGCCCCCCAACATGTATTTATTTTTTTTTTTAAAACAACTACATCTGTCTAAAAATTTAATTTGGCTAGTTCATAAATATATAACACACAGAAATGAACGTCAACTCTACATCAAGCTATTGACGTTTGTGTAACAAAACAGTGACAGTTATGATAATTAAAAACAGCTGCACTAAAATCAGCGTTGGCTGTATTTGTTTTGTTGAAGTCAAAGAAGTCACATTAAGGTGGACATTTACGGGGGTGGGGGGGGGGAGGGGAGTGGGTGGACAGTGGTAAAAAAATATATTTTCTATAGAAATTCTATTTCGTTCGGGGGTGGAAGTAGATGTTTTTCGGGGGGGGGGGGGGGGGGGGCGAAGAAATGCCTGGAAGAAACTCTGCTCATAAGCGCATTCAACGAACTCATTAATAGTTTTATCTTCCGCACTGACAAATCGTGGGAGTTGGGTGTGTCTTGATCCCCGCCGACCCCCGTATGTTCTATCGAACCCAAGTTAAGAAACATTGCCATAGCAGAAAGAGACTTTTGTTTTCATTCATCGAAAAGTGAATATTTCAATTTTGTTTGGCTTGTGCATTAATATAAAATATTAGAATAAAAAAATATACACATTAAATCAAATATGATTTTAAATTTATTTCCGAGAAAGTTTAATTGTTCTAGGTCTAGACAATGGTAATTTTAATTTATATACATATCGCTATTGTTCTATTTGATACCGAGATACCGATAACTATTATAGCAAAGTAGATATAAAAAATAATTTGTTTCTATTACACTCTTTATTTTTATTGATAATTTAATATTTAATAATTTAATGAATTTAGCGCTTCAATGTGTGTCCTTATATTACACAACATACCGGGCAAAAGTAAACATCCGATCAAACATGCCATTCTTCTTTTCTTCTTCTTCTTCGTTCTTAATTTTAGTGTTAGAAGGGATCCCCTCCAACACAATTAAGGATACGTGTCAACTGGTTATGCGCCATTGAGGCCATTGACTCCAATTCAGCCTGCTTTTCTTTTTGGATTTGCTTCCATAGCGTTTGTCCAACCAAGAACAAACTACAAGGCAGAAATTGTTTGATTTTGGAGTTGTCTCTCCTAGAAGAGTGGCTGTCCCCAGCTAACGAGCCTCATCTGCCCGAGGGTTCGAACTCGAGACATTTCGGTTTAGCAACCATGAGCTTTACCGACTCGACTCGACATGTCATTCAAGTTATTAAAGGTTATTTGCACTATTGTACTAGAAGGTTTTAAAACTACAAACTGGACATATTATAACGGGTGATAAAATGTGTATTGACCTACCTACAATAAAATCATAGATCGATTGTAAACTCTCCGTCAAAGCTGGCTCGCTGCCCTGCCCCAGGATGGCTGTGGGTGAGGTAGCGAGTGAGTAGATGAACAGGACGATCCACGACATGGCTGACATGATGTGAGTGTTGTTGTCCTCCCGTGGTTTAACGCTTTCATTAGTGCTCATCGACTTTTATACCGGCGTCACAGTATGTTGCAATACGGGCTATTGGTTTCTTTAATTAGAAGCTAATTAGCTTAAGTTTATATCGGTGGCGAGCAGTACTTTAAGCGATGAGTTGTTTTTTCTTCTAGTATAAAATGTAACGTTCTGTGGGGTTTAAAACTAAGTTAATACAATAATGATGTAATGAATATTTCCAATCTTTGTGTTTTCATCTGCGACGAAAGATCGCTAAGTATAGTTAGTAGCCTATATGTTTCTCTTGTATTTTCTTTAATAAAAAATATTTTGAAATGAAAATAACACATTCTAATTATTTAAATAGAAAGGACCCTATCACAGCTATCCACTTTAGTCGTGTTGGGCGCTAAACATGATGACTTTAGTCAATTGGACATGGGACCAACAGTTATCGCCAATATGACTTCTGACAGTGTCTGTTCCTCCTTTAACCCCCCCCCCCCCCCTCACAAACAAAATACAAAAATAGAAAATGGCTCTGCTAATAGTTATCACCCTTCGTTCTAGTATGCACTCGTCTTTTATTAAAAGCGACATTATTTTATGAGCTCTAATAATTGGAGTCAATTTGACAGTAACTTTTTTATGTTAGTAGAGTTACCATATTAGCCCCATTAGCCCCGTGAATTGGTTAAGTGTAAGGCCTTGGTAGTTCCTCAACTGCATGTTATCAAGTATCTCACAAGTTTGGACGCTTTTCACCCTTCACTATTTGTTGCTATTTCTTCCAAACTTTGCTTACAAGTCAATCTTTGAATACAACAAAATAATATACAATTGTCAATATGATAGTAAAATATTCATTAAAAATAGTGTATTAATTAAAATAGGAGAATATACAACATTGAAGTGAAAATATCTAGGCTATACTGAAGTCGAGTGAGCTTAATTTTTTTGTTACTTTTACAGTCCAGATGTATGCTAACAAGAGAGAGATATTTTCCAGGTGACTAGAATTTTTCAAGAAATATGATTTTTATAACTCGGTTATGGGAGGCGGTGTCACCTTAAAGTTTGATAGTTTGGGGAAGTATAAATTTCGTCCTAACTTAAAAAAAGCAACACCTATGTATTCAGTGGCGTAGCGAGGTTGGGTTACACCCGGTGCAGCACTTAATGGTGTCACCCCAAAGAGGCGTAGCGACCCTTCCCGGGGACAAGCTTTCAATTTTCGATTTGTTTGCACCCCCCCTCAAACTTTCGATTTGCACCCCCCTCAAACTTTAGATTTGCACCTCTTAAAAGACTATTTAACACTCGAATTAATCACTTAAGTGGAATTATCATTTTTCTTTATATATTTTGCTATTTTTTGCCTTGGTGTCACCCCCCTAAATGGTGTCACCCGGTGCGCTCCGAAGCCCCCGCCTCCCCCCTCGCTACGCCATTGTATCTATTTATTGTTCTATTCTATAATTATTACTTTTATAACACGTACACAAATTGAAAAATCGATAGTAGTTATTTTTATCGAGTTAAACTCAATATGTTGACATATAACCGGATATTATTTAACTAATACATCAAATTAATTAAGTCAAGAGCTTATACATTAGGCGATTGATCTTGTGCATCTGTTACAGTACTTGTTGGGTTACACATGGGTTGCAAAAATGGTTTTTATTTCCCGTTAAAAGTACTAATATTCCGCAATTCTTATTCGTTTTTTGAGAAATTACTACTTGCTATCAGCGGAAACTAGATCTTTTACTTACATGTGAATGTTCATTTATTTATCAGAAACAGTACTCAAGTTATAGGCTTTTGAAAAACTAAAAAAAGAAAAAGTTACACTTCCGGTTATCGGAAATCGCTGAAAAGTTGATACAAAACTACAAATTTAATATAATACTCATATAGGAAATTTCATCAACCTAGCTGTAAAGGTACTCAAGTTATCGTGTTCACAGACACACATACACACATACACACACAGATATACGGACAAAATTGGAAAACCACGTTTTTCCGAGCCAGGGAGGTGTAAAAGGTCGAGATTTGTAAAAAAAAAAGCTCATGAAACCCCTAGACATTTAGGCGACCATTACATTTTATTAATGAAAGCAAATTAGTAATATTTTCCTATACAATTGCTTTAAAAGTTTACTATTATAAACGTTTTTATATTTGATTTATGTGCATTTTTATTTAGTAAAAAATGTATGTCTATTTGTGGGTTTGTTGCAAATCTTGAGCCTCAATGTTGGCTCATTTCTAATGCACCGATTTCGTTTAAATTAATATTCCTGCACTTTCGTCTTTGATGACAAGGCAAACATTTTTAATTGTATTAGACATTAAATTAGTAATTAGAAATTGAAATTAAGATTTCTATCTATAAAAGGGGAGATAACATAATTAATCTCGAGCTATTAATCCCTCAGCATTTGATCAGTTTCTTCCGGGCATCTCTTCGGTGGAGGGGGGGGGGGGGGGAAAGAAAGGCTACCGCCCCCCGAAACAAATTGGAATCTATATACAAAATACATACTTTTGATAGTGTCCGCTCCCCAGAAAATTTCAAGTGCCCCCCCCCCCCCCAGAGAAAAAAGTCTGGAAGAAACACTGCATTCGATCTATAAGTTACTGTGTCTATCAATCGGTTTCTGTCTACAGTTTTTATTGTGTGTTGTCGCGTTAAGTTTCTCGTATTAATTAAGTTAAGTGTCGTTGCTTTGTTTGTTGTGTTTGTTTGGTTGGTAGTTTTTAAATAAATCGGGAGTGATCTCCCCTAAACTTTCTCGAATATTTTTATACTAGGCATGCTGCCCAGCTTCGCTTAGGCTTTCGAAAACATTGAGAATTTGAATGCTTAATTAATTCGCCCGAAGGTCGGTCTACGACCTCAAGAGTTATGAAGAGGTTCCTCCGTGGACATTTTTTTTCGATTTATAGCTCATATAAGGTACCGGTCAGTCGAGGTCAGTTTTGACCCCCACATCGTAGACTTTTCGGCCAACCGGCCCCCGTGTTCTGTCGCACCAAGGCAAGATCATGCCAAATTTGAAGCGCCTGCGGCGCCGGGAAGTGCCCTATCGGACACCCGACAATCTAGATCTAGATCTAGATTCCTAAAAGAATTTTTTTTAAGTTTAGCCCGAGCATAATAAAAAAGAATACATTAACCAAGTTGACTTGCTGTGTCTCGAACCCGCACCACCTGCGTGGTTTAATGTACACTAACATCTCCGCTATTTAGGCACCTTATAAAATACGGAGAATGAAACACGTATTTTAAAATCTTAACTTACGCGAATATGCCTATTCTTTCAAATTAATTTTTTATCCCAAATTAGCCAGTTCCAAACAAAGATTTTGTATAAAATAAATAAGTCTTGAAATAGTTTAGTCCTAATATAGAAATTTATTTTTGGAATTGATTTTAGAGAAGTTAGAGTCTAAATCTAGATCTTAGCGTCTACGTCTAGATCTAGTTATTGCGTAGATTTAGATTTAGTCTAGATCTAGAATCTCTAGATCTAGAATCCAAATAGCCTACATAAAATACATTTTATGAGTTTAGGCCGGAAAAATTGTATTGTATACATTTCATAGTGTACGTAGATCTAAATCAAATTTGAATGAAATAGTTCATTTCTTTTCATTCTAAACACGGCAGATGACGTCATTAGTTAATGTATAAGCAATAGTGACGTCACAGTTTTATGCGTTCTTTTTCACATATATTAATGCTTTTCCGGTTGCATAAATAATACTGTTTCTCTACATTCGAATACGCCTTTAATTTTTATTTTTCTTCTTTAACTAAAATTGTGGTTATACATTTAAAACATCTAACATATTATTTTCAACAAAAGTCCGTAAAAAGTTCTTCATATATCGCTGCCGATTCTGACGTGATGTCCGGCGAAAATATTTTGCGGACAGACAGAGAGAGAGAGAGAGAGAGAGAGAGAGAGAGAGATGTGCGAACGTGGGGATTTATATATTAGGATTAGGATAAAACAACAGGGGATGGGAACTAAGAATATAGACATGAATTTTAATTACTTAAACTTTTAAAAATAGAATAGAATCTCGTAGAAAAAAGAATTGCGCACCAAGCGAACGCCAAAACAAAAGGTGCATAATAGTGCGGAATATTATTAGTACTTTATAAATTTACATGCGTTTTTTGAGAAATCGGAAATAGCGTAAATTACTACTTCCGGTCAACGGAAATTACGCAAAATGTGATAGAAGGTAGAGGATTATCTATCTGAAATAGTGCTCAAGTTATAGGCTTTTGAAAAATTCAAAGTAGAAAAAGTATCACTTCAGGTTATACGAGAAAGTAAAAAACCTTTAATATAAATAAGCTTTATAATGAACTAAAATATGGAAAAAGTAGTTTTGTAGCTATAACAGTAAATCTAGAAGTATCTGTCGTAAAATATATCTATTGGATTATTTTCTTTTAGTGAAACAATTTGGTCGGAGTTTTCCGATTTGAGGCCTGTCTGGTTAATGGGAGACACCTCCTGAGCCTGGGGTTTCCGTTATGAAAGAAAGAAAAAAAAGAAAGAAAGAAAGAAATAATACAAAACTTTTTATTGCAAAGGAGATTTTTACACCTGGTTGATTTAAACCGTCTGAAGTAGACTGGACTGATAGTATGCTTCTAAAACCTTTACACGAACTTCGCGCTGTTAGCGTCACATCTTGTCCTCTATGTCTCCATTAGGGGTCCTCCATTTATGACGTCCACAAAAATTTGGAATTTTAGACCCCCTCCCTCCGTCAGCATGCGTCCACTTTCGATACCCCCCCCCCCCCTTAAAGTGGACTTCCACACAAATCTAGTAGACCTTTCAAAACATGCTGCAAAATTACGAATACATTAACATGGAATGTATACCTTGCTACGTTTTTAATTGCTAATGTAAAGTTCGTCTCGTGTTTTTTTTTCATTGCAGCACCTGCGCAGGCAGTGTAAATACGCAC